CGGCGAGGAACTACACACGCACTCACTACTGCTCTCGCAAGGTGATTGGCTTCTCTCCAGTGATTCAGGCCGCCTCAAAGCATGGATCCACTGCACTTTGTCGCGGAACACATCAACATGCCTGTTGACGTACACTGGAAAAGATACGACTCCACGATGAGGACCTGTGTAGCAACTTGATCATGGCAGAGAAGGAGCTGAAGCAACTTCCATTGGCGCATGTTTTTTAGTTTTAACGGTACTCCACGATGAGGAACAGCACTCGCTACTGCTCTTGCCAGGTGATTTGCTTCTCTCCAGTGATGCAGGCCACCTTGAAGCGTGAATCCACTGCATCTCTCTCTCTCTCTCCAAATTCTTTGGTAATGCAGCCTTTCACCAACATTGTCCGGTTGCACACCTACTGTCACTCAAACAGGACCAATGGATGCAACATGTGCCTAGCAGATACACTGTTGATCATGAACAACTCCAATAACACCCCCCCCCCCCCCCCCCCCTCACCATTGTCTTCAATACACATCCAACTAGAACTTGAAGTATATTAGTCGAAGCTGCTGGTATAGTCTCTACTTCTTGATGCTACCCACTCTCTTTTTCTGTCTGTCTTTCTCTTTCTGTGTATGTATGTGTGTGGGTGTGTGCGTCTCTCTCTCTCTCTCTCTCTCTCTATCTCTCTCTCTCTCTCTCACGCACACACACACTCACTCACTCACTCACAAAGCATGGATCCACTGCACTTTGTCGTTGAACATCTCAACACGCATGTTGACGTACACTCTCTCTCTCTCTCTTCTCTCTCTCTCTTCTCTCTCTCTCTCTCTCTCTCTCTCTCTCTCTGTTTCTCTCTCTCTCTCTGTTTCTCTCTCTCTCTCTCTCTCTCTCTCTCTCTCTGTCTCTCTGTCTCTCTGTCTCTCTCTATCTCTCTCTCTCTCTCTCTCTCTCTCTCTCTCTCACACACACACACACACACACACACACACACACACACACACACACACACACACACACACACACACACACACACACACAGTGACACACACAGTGACAAAGCATGGATCCACTGCACTTTGTCGTTGAACATCTCAACACGCATGTTGACGTACACTCACTCTCTCTCTCTCTCTCTCTTTCTCTCTCTCTCTCGTTCTCTCTCTCTCTCTCTCTCTCTCTCTCTCTCTCTCTCTCACACACTCACAAAGCATGGATCCACTGCACTTTGTCGTTGAACATCTCAACACGCATGTTGACGTACACTCACTCTCTCTCTCTCTCTCTCTCTCTCTGTGCGTGTGTGTGTGTCTCTCTCTCTCTCACACTCGCTCACAAAGCATGGATCCACTGCACTTTGTCGTTGAACATCTCAACACGCATGTTGACATACACTGTATCTCTCTGCGTCTTTTGATTTCTGTGTCGCTCTTTCTCTTTTTCTCTCAACCTGTGTATCTACAATGTACTTTGCTGTAATAAATTCTTTTGAAGTTCTGTCCTTATTTGACTGGGTTATTGATCGCGTATTGATCAAGCTCGGCACGAAGTATTGGCTCGCTTTCTCACATACTTACTCTCTTTTTCTGTCTGTCTCTCCATCTCTCTTTCTGTGTGTGTCTCTCTCACTCTCTGTTGACGTACACTGTATCTCTCTTTGTCTATCTCTGTGTCTCTCTTTGTCTGTCAGTTTCTCTCTCTCTAACACACAGGCACAAGCTTTCTATCTGTCAGTTTCTCTTCTTTTGTTGCTTTCTCATGAACACTAGCACACACACACTCTCTCAACATTGATCACTTATTCCCATCATGCTTTTTTGGGTTTCGTCGTGATAGAATATTGTACTACTACTGATGTACAACACTATTCTCATGCAACTGGAGGGTATATATTCGGGTGCTATTTGTTGTTGTGGCTAAGAGTGCATGTGTGCGGCCAGCTAGTTCCAGCATGCAAGGTGTTACATTTGCTACACTGTGGTCTTACAAGCACAGAGAACCATTATGTTCTAACTTTCCTTGATACAACTATGAACCGAAGCACAACTGCTGCAAACATTAACTGCCCATTTAGGCAAGATAGCAACAACTAAAAGTAGAAGAAGTAAGTAAGACTAGCGTCCTTCCAGCTCCAGGACAGTATGAACAGGCAACAACATAAATTTTAACAGCATTGCATCGTACATGCATGTAGCCATGCAGAAATAATTGTACATTTAGTTGTAAATGCAAATCCAAGGCGGAAAGCAGTCAGGCGTAATAGATGCCAGCAATAGAAACCAGATCTGTGACGCATGTCACATGCATTCATGATGATCAATGCATGATCGTGGTTCACCACCATTGAACACAGTAGCACATGTAAATTACACAGAAATAGGAGATTAAATCTAACATATCTCCCTCGTGAAAGAAAAGTGATAAAATATCACATGAGTGAGTAAAAGACGAAGACAACAAGAAGAAAAACATGACAAAAAACAATGGCAATTGAATATGAAAACTTGAATATGATAACTCGGATGGAAGAAAAGGACCAAGGACCTACAAGACGTGCTAGAGCTAATAGCCAGTTTGTTGTAGAACGTCAGTACTGTCGGTCAGTTTGGTGCAATGTTATAATTATTGTTATTGCATGAGCTGATTGTCAGGTAACTGGTGGTGTTAGTGGACAGTATAGCATAACTTGTAGTTCTTTTAATATGAAAACAATCACAGTTCGCTCAGTACTTGCACCTTTAACTTCCAGTGGCTCAAGATGATGAACTGCATGCTTGTATACCTTCCCAGCTACTTAAACTTCTACTATCCGAACAGCACCATCCTTACCTGGATAGGTCATAAGCACACGTCCAAGTGGCTAGTGTGCAGTTGCGGTGTGCTTATCCATCACAAGCACGATATCTCCTTAGGGTGATGCTGTTGAAGCAACCACATCACTTGGATGCTTAGCTTCGGAACAATCTCTTTCAGCTAACGTTTCCATACCTGATCTACAATACGTTGCACAAACTCCCAGCGCTTTCTTGGGTGAGCTTGAGTCATTGTAGATGTGTTGGCTTCAGCAGCAACAGTTGCCCTAGCATGGCCAATGAGAAAGTGTTGTGGCAATAGCAGCTGAAGGTCTTCATGCAGCACTAGTTTCATTGCCTTGGCCATTACCTAGAACACACCACCAAAGTGTGGTGCACTTGGTGGCTTGAAGTACCAGGTAATGTCGCGGTATGACCTTTCTGCTGCTAGTCTGAAGTTGTCGAGAAACTTGACAGCTGCTTTTACCTCTTGATCAGCCACACGGAAATTGGTACCGTTGTCCGATTGCATCTCTTGTGGCACACCGCGTCGCATGGTGAATCGGGGTCTAAGAGCCAGGAGAAAACCGTCGTTGACCAGAGATAACCTCGAAATGACAAGCCCTAGTCAGCAGGCATGTAAACACACATACATAATCTCTTTGAGTTGTGACCGATCTCGACCCTGGCGTGCATAGAAGGGGATGACATAGCCGACACTAATTATGGCAAATGACTGATGTGGTCCAGTTGTCTTGAAGTCGGGAAGTGGTGGCATTGCTGGTGTTGCTGTTTTGATATGGCCCTTGCGGCAAAGAACGCACTTGGCCCGATGCCTCCAGGTGGCCTGCATCACTGGAGAGAAGCCACTCACCCGGCACAAGCCTCCACGAGTGCTGTGTGCTCCTCATCGTGAAGTGATACCTTTCCCAGTGAACGTCAACAGGCGTGTTGATGTGTTCGACGACAAAGTGCAGTGGATCCATGCGTTGAGGGGGCTGGATCACTGGAGAGAAGCCAATCATCTTGCGAGAGCAGTAGCAAGTGCGTGTGCAGTTCAGCTCCTTCTCTGCATGATCAAGTTGCTACAGACCTTGCAAGCTGATTTCATACACCACTGCCACAGGCTATGTCTGTCAGCTAGCTACAGCAACAATATCCTCTTCATGAATGTTCAAAACTATTTTCTTGGGTCAAAATTAGCTCTCCATTGTCTACAACACAGCATGATCGCATGTGCATGGACAGGATCCGACTGCGATGCAGCTCTCCTGGAAGGAAGCAAAGTTCTCCTGTCGCCAATGCATGCCATCGCTTGTCAGTGTCACTCCAGAAAAATAAATTTCAATTTCAGAAGCTACGAATTCAACGCATTCCAGTCTGCCTCCACCAAGACTACTACAGGGCATCTGATTTGACAAGGTATATCAGTAGGACTTGGAACAGTAACAGTTAACAGTTTGCAAGATCACTAGCCATTACAACAAGTATCAGAACATCAAAACAAACCTCGTGTAGATCCACAATTTCACATTCAACCCATCGATCTAAAAAGTAAAAGGTTCCCTTTCCCGCCAGCTGGACATGCATGCATGCATGCTCTCACCAGGCCGGGAGTCATCAAACGCCGGTACTTGACGACTCCCTGGCTCTCACTTGTCAGCCAGCTCACACGTCTTGTCGTGCACGCGCAGACGTCCAGCACACGTACACACGCGTGTCGAAATGTGTTTTTTGCCGCGAAAGTCGGTAAAAATTAAGTGAGGGTCCCTTTAGTCCTTCGCATACCACTTTCAATAAATCGTGACGCCATTTTGTTTTAACATGAATATCGCGGATTATGAAGACTTGAAGTTGAACTTTTTGTTGAAGGATCATGACGATATATACGATGTGTATCGCGAGCGCGAGCTCTTCAAAACATTTCGGCGGGAAAATGGACAAGTCAAAACAAGAGTCCTGGAGATGTACATGTACCATAATTATTGTACTGTGCCAGTGCAGTACATGTACGTCAGTGACACTGCGCAGGCCGCTGTGACTGCATGCGCGTGTACTACGGTGTAGAATCTACAGATATGCAGTGATGAATGAAAAAAGGGACTGCACCTTCTACCAAGAGTACATAACTGTTATGTACTCTTGCTTCTACATGTCGACAATAAAAAATAATCAGATTTCGGATGATGCTTGAGAAGATGCAACAGGCCAGAGCTGACTATCTATATCTACCTGCGAAAGGAAAGGTAAACAAAGTCAAAACGACGAAGCCCCGCAAGGCTGTGTGGGTGAACTCATACTAGCTATCATCACTCTCTGCTCCCTATAGCCCTGCATTACGAACGTGCAGCAGCTTCTGGCTCTGTTTTGTCAGACATCGAGAATCTAGAATGAGCTCAAGGAATTTTATTTGATTTAGTGACTTTGGTCTAGGCAGCATGGCGACCTTAGATAGCTCAGATATAGTTTGTCCATCGCCACCACTGTTTGCGGATGATGAGGACATCGTTCTGGACTCACCTAGACTTCTCGTGGATCACGATGGCCCACATGAGGCGCTGGAGAGACGAGAGATTGACATGCAGCACAGACCGTTCTCCTCGTCCAGTGTTGCTGTGTCCAGTGCTGCTGGTGGAGCTGAGTGGAATCGACAGCCTGTGGCAATGGCTGACGATGTGATGAGTTCATCTAGGACTGCTCACACACGGAGCGCAACAGGTACACAACGTGGTAGCTCTGCTGATGGTGATACTGCTGTTGACTCCATGGCATCCACTGACTGGAGTGGTCATGATCTAGATGCACCGCTGTCATTAGATTCACCGCCTTTGCTACAGGACGTGGCACTTCCACACATAGCATTGGAATTGACAGAGAATGCTGATCACAGCCGACCCAATGGTGCGCAAGCGTCGCCTATCTCTACAAATATGGACCAATCAATGCAGGCACGAGATGGCGGCACAAGTACTCACCCCATCAGCAGTGCAGCTAGTGGCAATAGTGCAGTAACACGTATATCAGCAGCAGTATCGATAGCCAGTAGTTCTATCGCCGGAGACAGTACATCACCCTATTTCCTTGGTTCTAGTAGAACTGGGCCAGTAGGTAGCCTACCTGGTAGTGCACAGCTGCTGGCCTCAGTACATGCTGCTACCTCTAGCCAGTCTGTGAGCTCCAGTAGTAGCAGTAGTAGCAGTAGTAGTACTAGTGCTAACACTACAACTGTAACCAGTGCTGGTGGCACCATGCCTGCCCACAGCATCAGTAGCCAGCCGGCAACGCATACACACCGCTCAAGGGAAGCACACAGTGCGGCACCTGCCGGCGCAAGCGTCGGCAATAGCGCAAATAGCTCGCCGGGCCATGCACGAACGGACAGCCGAGTGGAAACGAACGGACACGCTATCGGCCTGGCAATGGGTAACGCCAGCTCTGCCATCGCCAGTAGTAGCACTCGCACGATTGCCGCCAATAGCACAGCCACCAGCAGCAGCGTCATCAGCAGTAGCAGTGCTGACAGTAGCCGAAGACGACACAATCAGAACATAGCCAATGACCACGGTCACCTTTCCTTGCACTATCACACGTCAGACAGATCACGCATCTCCGTCACTCTAGACCCAACGACGACCGTGAGCTTATCTGTTGTTCAAGTCCCCGCTGACGGCGGTAGCTCTGCGTCAGAGGACGATGCTGAAACGGACATGGACAATGATGGGGATGAGACGGAAATTGAAATTGATGAAGCCCATCCCGCGGTCCACAATGCCATTATTGTGTCGGACTCGGATTCGGACACGCCGGATCAGCTCCCAACGTTGACAGCCCTGGACGGTGCTGACGACTTTCGCCTGGTCGACGCGACCACCACCGGAGCGGCGGAGGGGGAGGCGAACGGCGCACTGGTCCCGCCGATGTCGGACGAAGTATCTATCGCTATTGATACCCCTCTGGTGTCTAGTACGGCGGCTACTCCAGTGTCTGTTGAACCTGGTGGGGCTGCTGGTACATCTACCGCTGCAGCTAGTGTAGCTCAGTCTACTAGCAATGCCTTGGCTGATCAGTCCTTGGCAGAGTTTGAGACCAAGAGACCCAAGAAGCGCAGCCGTGCCGAAATGGAGGAGACGGCGGACGAGCCAGCCGAAGAGGTGAGCGAAGCATTGTAGGTAAATATGTGTGTGTGTGTGGCGTATGGTGTGGTGTTCTTGGGTGTGGGTGCGTGCGTGCGCGTGTGTGTGTGGCGTTGGTGTGTGTGTGGGGGGGGGGGGGGGGGGGCATGCTGATACTGGCTTGATTTACAAGGCCTTGTCAGCTGCAGCCCCGACTTCACACCGGCCTGTACATGAATATGCCCGGCTAATGTGCACACCCTCACTGTTCCCTGTACAGCATGTGCACTCCAGGTGCTGTAGTATCTTTTAGGGATGCTATCTGCTCCCCTCCCCTGACCACTGTAAGCAAGAGTCCTAACCCCAAGAGTGCAACTCTGTACATGGAGATCCGCGCGGCGGAATTTCAACATTACGTCAAAAATGACGTACACGTTCGTTGCGCTTGTAGATTTTCTGGTTTGAAATGCGGATGTAGTAGACGGACTTCCCCCTACACAAATCACTATGTATTACTATGTAGCGTAGTAGACGGACTTCCCCCTACACAAATCACTATGTATTACTATGTATTGCACTATGCATTGCTGACACCATCAGATCCCTTGCTTTCATTCGCTAGCTAGCGCTCGGAGCTGTAACTGGCAATCTCGTACCATATATATAGATCCGTGTGTCAGTTGCCCAGCTCAGTTGTTGCAGAGTCCTTGCGTCCGTTGTTTCTGTCGTCTTCCCTTCACTTATTGAGTCTTTCAATATACTATAAGTAATTCTGTGTCACCTACGTTTGTCGTTCCGTGTGTGCAATATTGTTCCCTGAGAATACTACCTGTGTTTTGCCGGAGAGACTGAACCAGTTTTGCCTTGTCACTCGGTCGCGTATTACATTTGGTGGCAGCGGTGTTAGCTCTGCGTTCGTCAGTCGCAGTATTCCGGACCACGCCTCGTTATTTCGCCGTGCAGTGAACGTTGCCGTTGCCGTTCTCGTCTCAACTCAAGCTGAGTAACTTTGTTCCGTGCCAATTTCCGATTTTAATATTTACATTTTTGTAGTGCTAGTATTGTCTAGGCTTACTTTGTTGGATCTCTTCGTAGTCTTGTCCCCTAAGTAAGCTAGCTCTTCGTTGCCAGTTTTTCTTGCACTGCTCGCCGGACTTGAACTGTTGCTATAGCGTAGGCTTAGTCCTCAAACGCGTCCCGTGTTGCTTGCGAAGTCCTATAGGCCTACTTGTTTGTTTGTTATCCTTATATACAAGACACCGAAAATGGCACAGAATCCTCAAGCTGCTGCTGCCGCTGCCGCTGCTGCTCCCGCTGCACCAGCTCTGGCTCCGGGTCAGGTTCCGGCTCCTCGACAGGCACCACTTGCTCGGCCGGTAGTTGTACCGCCGACGTTTGGAGGTGCCAGCCAAGACGATTGGCACTGCTTCATCGCCAGGTTCGACGCAGCGTGCGTGGTAAATGGGTACCGGGATGCGGAAAGGCTGCAGTTTCTACCTTGTTGTTTCAAGGAGAGTGCTTTTACAACTTACCAGACCATTCTGGCGGCGCACCCGCAGTATACGTATGTAGAAATGTGCACCGAATTAGGGCTACGGTTCGCACCGCCACAGCAAAGTCGCCTCCTTGAGGCCGAGTTTCGAGCTCGCCTGAAACGATCCACTGAGTCCCAGGCCGAGTTCGCCGCAGCTCTTCAGCGCCTTGCGGCACGCGCCTTTCCAGGTCAACAGGGTCCGCTGTTAGATCGCCTGACGCTCAATCAATTTATTGACGGCCAGGTCAATAGTGACCTGCGCTTGCACATCAGGACATCCAGCCCTGCAGCCCTCGATGCCGCCGTTCGACGGGCGTACGAAGTTGCAGCGATCTTAGAGGTCGAGAATCGCCGCAGTCTTCCGGTTCCTACACCAGCCTGCGCTGCCCTGACCGCCTCTATGCCTCAGGCACACTCCGCAGGTCCACTCGCGGATCCGACTCCTACGTCCAGTGCCACCGTGGCCCACGTAGCTCCGAGTTCGACTTCGAGCTCCACCGACCCGCTCGTACTATCGTTGTTGAGCAAAATTTCGGACCAGCTAGCTGATCTACAGGTCTTCTCCGCAACCTCCGCTCCGTCGCCACGGGCGTATAGTGACGACACTCGAGCTCCACGCGGCCGTGGTCACAGCGTCTTCCCTCGAAGCGCGCCCATGTCGGGCCCAACTCGATTTCCTGGCAGCTCGAATCGTAACCCGCCTCCGTACAACGGCACAGGCCGCGGACTTTACGATGGCGCGCGGGATCGCGGGTGCTTCAATTGTAGCGATCCGTCCCACTTCCGTCGTGATTGTCCCCACTCGACGCGTGGGGGTCGTCCGTCGGGAAACCGCTATTGACTGGTGCTGCTCGGCAAGCTCCAGTCTTCGATACTAGTGTTCCTAGCTCGACTGTGCCGACTTGTACTGGTTGTGAATGTCGTCCCTGTTATTGTACTGTTGATGTGCGTTGCCCTACGTCTGCACCTGTGACTGTGTGTCCTGTTACGCATGTTCAGTCGTCTTCTGCAGTTTCTCCGTCTGTCTATGTTGCGGTTAGTCTCCAAGAGACGAAATGCCATGCTCTTGTTGACACTGGGTCTAGTGTTTCCCTTGTGTCTACTGCATTGTGGCGTAGTCTGTGCACGACCTCCTCTGTCCCTGTGTCTGCTGCTCCTGTTGTGTCTGGTGTGACGGGCCGTCCCCTCTCCACTACGGGTACCGTGTCCCTCTCTGTTTGTACACCCTCGTTCGTAGCTGTTCAGAATTTTATCGTTGCTGCTGATATCACGTCTGATGTAATCCTCGGTGCTGACTTCCTACAGCAGCACAATGTCCTGCTTGATTTCTCCCGGGCTCAGTTGGTCCTGGATGATGTTAAATTGCCGCTTGTACCCCTTCCACGTGTGCGTTCGCTTTCTGCTGCTGTTGCTGCCGCGCCCACACCAGCCCATGTTACGACTGTCGTGCCCGACCTGAGTGCTCCGACTGTTCCTGCTGCCGTCGCTGCCTCCGTACCTGCTGCCGTCCCTGCCTCCGTGCTTGCTGCTGCTGCTCCGCCTGCTGCTGCTGCCAATGCTGTTGAATCTCTGGTGTCTCGTGTTGCTTCCTCGTTCCGTGTGTGCATCACACAGTCTGTTTCAGTTCCGCCCTGTCATGAAGTTATTCTTCCGGTTGCCCCGTCGGTATGTGCTGCTGGCTCTCCTGCTGCTGATACTTCGTATCTAATCGAGCCCCTTGATTCGTTCTCAGAGAAACACCCGACATTGGATGTCGGAATGTCTGTCACGTCCCCGGATAACTTGGTTATCAATGTGGTTAACCGTGGTACCACCCAGATTACCTTGCATGCAAATACTCATATTGCTGTATGTGAACCTGTCCCTGAGCGTGCTGACACTTGTGCTGCTGTTGATGATTCGCCGTTCATGCCGCCGCCGCCTGTCCCAGTAGAGAAGATTGATGCGTATATCGAAAAGAATTGTTGTCACCTGTCACCAACGGACCGTTCTACCTTGCGTGACCTTCTCCTGCAGTACCACGATGTATTTGCTCTTCATCCCGACGACCATGGGTACTGTGATCTTGCGCCACATAAGATAGACACAGGTGATCATTCGCCTATTAAACAACAACCTTACCGTGTTCCATTCCGTCATCGTGAGCAGCTCCAGAATATTATCAATGACCTTCTGCAGAAAGGTGTCATTACTCCCTCTGCGAGCCCGTGGGCTTCGCCTGTTGTCCTCGTGCCTAAGAAAGATGGCTCTCTGCGTCTCTGTGTTGACTATCGCCGGCTCAACAAGATCACCACAGCTGATGCTTATCCTCTTCCTCGGGTCGACGATACCCTAGACGCGTTCTCTGGCTCTAAGGTATTCTCGACACTTGACCTTGCTAGTGGCTACTGGCAAATCGCAATCCACCCTCAAGACCAAGCTAAAACAGCCTTCGTGACGCCCCTTGGGTTGTACGAGTTCACGGTTCTTCCTATGGGTTGCTGCAATGGGCCTGCCACATTTCAGCGCTTGATGCAAACGATCCTAAATAATCTCCTTACCAGTCCTGATCCCGTCTGCCGTGTGTTTTTTGATGACATTGGCCTTGGGTCAGCCACTGTTAGTCTTGGCTTGGATGGCCTCCGGTCCGTTTTCACGTGTCTTCGTCGGTACAATCTCAAGCTTCGGCTTGAGAAATGCGCTTTCCTGCAGCCCCGCACTAAGTTCCTTGGTGTGGACATCAGTGCCGATGGCCTTCACACCTCAGCTTCGAAGGTTCACGATATTGTTCACTGGCGTACGCCGACATCCGTTCGTGAAGTGCGTGGTTTTCTCGGCCTCGCTGGGTATTACCGGAAATTTGTTCCGCACTTCGCGCAAGCTGCCGCCCCACTGGCCGCACTCACTAAGAAAAATGCGAAGTTTTCCTGGGGTCCTGCTTGTCAGGCTGCTTTCTGTGTACTAAAAAAACGCCTCTCATCTGCGCCTGTGCTTGCTCAGCCTGACTACACGTCTGCCGCCGCTCCCTTCATCCTTGATGTTGATGCCAGTGATTTTGGTATGGGCGGTGTGCTCTCTCAGGTACAAGATGGCCATGAGTGTGTGATTTCCTACGGTAGTGCTATTCTCAACACCGCCCAACGTAACTACTCCACTACAGAGAAGGAACTCCTTGCATTTGTTCACTTCGCTGATGTGTTCCGCTACTACCTCGTTGGTCGAGCATTTGTTGTGCGCACTGATCATGCTGCTCTCAAATGGCTCCATTCGCTCAAGGAACCACGCGGTCGTCGTGCCCGTTGGTTAGAACAACTTGCTGAACTCGAGTTCACGGTTATTCATCGCCCTGGCCGTCAACATTGCAATGCCGATGCTCTGTCTCGCCGTCCTCCTGAGTCTGTTGCCGCCACTACCCGTCAGTCACCGCCTGACCAGTCGTCACCAGCCGCACCAGCAGCTCCTGCTCCTGCTTGTGATCCTGGACCCACTGTACCGAAACCTGCACCTGACTCCTGGCTGCCGCGCTTTACTGCTGCTGAGCTGCTTGCTGCGCAAAAAGAGGATCCTGATGTGTCCATTGTGTTAGGCTGGCATGATTCTAGTCATGATGTGTTTAATTCTCCCCCTGCACACACATTAACTGCCTCTAGCCGTGCTGTTCGCCGCTATGCTTCTGAAATTCATTTGCTTTCCCTACGTGATGGTGTTTTGTATCGCACAGACCCATCGGCTGATTCTGTTTTGCAATTAGCTGTTCCGTTCTCTTTCCAAGCTGATATCTTAGCTGCGGTGCACGCCGATGTTAGTGGTGGTCATCTCGGTGCTACAAAGACCATTGACAAGGTCAAATGCCGTTTCTTCTGGCCAGGTATGTCAGCTGATTTGCGCACATTTGTAGCTAATTGCCAAGAGTGCATGTCCCGTAAGAGCGCTACGACTGGCCGAGCACCATTGCAGTCCATGCGAGCTGGCTTCCCTAACGAGATCGTAGCCATGGATCTCGTTGGACCACTGCCTACCAGTCGCCATGGCAACCGTTACCTACTGGTATGTAGTGACTACTTCTCACGTTGGCCTGAAGCGTACCCTCTACCCACTATGACTGCTGCTGCCGTTGCGGATGTGTTCTTTCGGAACTGGATCTGTCGGTTTGGTGCCCCAGAACAACTCCACACCGATCAGGGCACACAATTTGAGTCTGAACTCTTCAGTGAACTGTGTCGCCTCATGAATATCCGAAAGACTCGGACCACCGCGTATCATCCCCAGGGCGATGGGCTCGTGGAACGCCTCAACCGCACCATAGTTTCAACGTTGCGAGTGTATGTAGCGGATCTGCCCACCTTCTGGGATCAGTATGTTTCAACCGTCCTGCTTGCATACCGTACAGCCAAGCATTCTTCTACCCAATTCACCCCAGCTCAGCTTATGTTTGGTCGCCAACTCCGTCTGCCTATCGACCTTGTCTATGGGTCACCCCCGACAGAGTTTGTGTCGCCCGCCGAATATGTAACACAACTGTCCAAGTCCCTCCACCATAGCTTCGATACTGCCCGTCGTAATGATAATGCTGCGCACCACAGCCAGAAGGACCACTACGACCTTCGTCAACGTGGCACTGCATTCCAAGTCGGTGATAGTGTGTGGCTCCTTGAACCTGGAATGCGTCGCAAACTCCAGCCACCGTGGACCGGACCATACCGGATTGTCCATGTGTCGCCGCCAACGTCATACGACATTCAATTGATCAACGAACCCTCCAGCACCAGTAAGCGTGTACATTTCAACCGCCTCAAGCTACACGCCCGCTCAAACGCCAAGTCGTCAGTCTCTCAGTCCGGCCCAGATGTCCCGCTGTCTGAAGCGCCACTGGCTCCTACTTCTCCATGTCCGCCGCCTGTTCCGCTATTCTCCTGGCCTGATGCTGATGATGCCCCACCCCAACCTGTTCCTCCGCCGCCGCCGGTTTTGCTGCAGCCAGCGCCACCAGCACCTGGTCCGCGTGCCCATCTGCACCGCAACGCCGGTCTTCCTGTTCGTTACAGGAACAACTATGTGTTCCCACAATGAGTTCCAAACTCGCACTTGCCTTGCCTTTCTGCTCCACTCTGTTTCCATTGTGTGCTTGTGTATGATTTTCTTTTTCTGGCTGATGTATTTTGCTGCTTGAGCCTCGTTTAGGTCTACGTTAATTCTGTATTATGTTCTTGTTTGTTTTCCGAGGACGGAAAATTATTTGAGGGGGGAGCAGTGTAGTAGACGGACTTCCCCCTACACAAATCACTATGTATTACTATGTAGCGTAGTAGACGGACTTCCCCCTACACAAATCACTATGTATTACTATGTATTGCACTATGCATTGCTGACACCATCAGATCCCTTGCTTTCATTCGCTAGCTAGCGCTCGGAGCTGTAACTGGCAATCTCGTACCATATATATAGATCCGTGTGTCAGTTGCCCAGCTCAGTTGTTGCAGAGTCCTTGCGTCCGTTGTTTCTGTCGTCTTCCCTTCACTTATTGAGTCTTTCAATATACTATAAGTAATTCTGTGTCACCTACGTTTGTCGTTCCGTGTGTGCAATATTGTTCCCTGAGAATACTACCTGTGTTTTGCCGGAGAGACTGAACCAGTTTTGCCTTGTCACTCGGTCGCGTATTACAGCGGAGTTTTGTCCTCTGTGCCTCAGCAACATGACGTAATGTTGGAATTCCGGCGCGCAGTGGGCCTACAGCAGCCAGACCCCAGGTGCACACTCTTGGGGTTATGGACTCTTGATATAAGCAAGAGCAAAGGGTGTCATTTCAGTGCGGCCATCTGGACTCGGATAAGTGAACCAACTCTGTATGCTTACAATGTTTCCACATCTCTTGAGCGGTCGGCTTCAGCAAGTTTCATTCAACCCTATCCGTGTGCTCACTGCTCTGCCCTGCTGTTGATGTGTTCCATTGTCTGCTTGTAGGGCAACACATGCACCATTTGCTTTGATGAATGGACTAATGCCGGCACTCATCGCATCTCTGCACTGAGATGTGGTCATCTCTATGGCTTCAGGTAGGTGTCTGTGCATGCAGTGAGTGCCTGATATCTGTGTACTGCACGCATGCCATGGCTTTCTCTGTGCGTGCTCTACATTGTGTGTAGTGTTGTGTGAGTTTTCTTTGGGGGGGGGGGGGGGGGGGGTATTGGTGTCATCCCTTTTGTGGTACCTTTTTGCAGTATTTTGTTGTGTTGTCAGTTGACAAGTGTCTCATTCTCATCTGTGCTTTATGTCAATATTAGCTTTCTTCTTTTCCTCTTTGCGTCTGTGTGTGACTATGTGTTCTGTACCTCGCTACTCTCCTTCTCCCTCTCTTTCTCTCTCTCTCTCTCTCTCTCTCTCTCTCTCTCTCTCTCTCTCTCTCTCTCTCTCTCTCTCTCTCTCTCTCTCCGCACAGCTGCATTGATCGCTGGGTTAGATCCAATGGTACGTGTCCACAGTGCAAGGCGAAATCAAAAAGATCGGAAATCCGTAAGCTGTATGCCAACAAGATCTCAGCACTCGACACAACGGAACGAGACAAGGCGATAGAGGTACCGCAAGTGTGATATCTGTGTGTGTGTGTGTGTGTGTGTGTGTGTGTGTGTGTGTGTGTGTGTGTGTGTGTGTGTGTGTGTGTGTGTCAGTGTTGCCAACCGCCCGTATTTGTCCGTATTTTTACGGAAAAACGAATTTTTGTCTGCAGTACGGATTTCAAACGAATGTCCCGCAAACGATTATGTATATGATCGATTGCTAAAACCTTCGTAACTCCATCGTTTCTTGTGCCAGTTCACCAATCGAAGGGTCTATGTGGTAGCAAAAACTCCAAGCTGTCCAATGCTACAATTGCTGAAGCATTACGATGGATTCCAGAGACATCGCGCGCCGTATTCAGGTGTTCTTACCTCGGCAAAATCAATTTTTGATCGATCTCTTCGCAATTTGGGGGGGGGGGGGGAGATCCCTTTTTGCGTGCTCTTTGAGCGACTTAGCACTTTATAATGATGTAGCCGGCTGAAGTTTGAATCGCCTTGAAAAAAATGGAGCGTTCTGCAATGAAGGAGAGTGGAATGGTGTTGATGGGACGAATTATTTGCTTGCATATTAGGCTTGGAGACGACTTTGCTGTGTTACCGCGCCTGATTTGTGGCGGCTTGATTGATTTTATTTGGATTCGCGAGACCAAACGAGCAGGAGAGCTCAATAACAGGGTAGCGAATGGTTGAGTGTGCTATGTGACAATGTAGTGTGTGCGTGGGGTGGTTGGGGCTGCGGAGGCCCAATACAATGTAAGGGGATGGGAGGAGAGAAGGGCAGCGGTGAGTCAAACTCAGAAGAGGGAGGAGAGAATAGCTGAAGTACACGTTTACTGTGCGAATTCAAATAAACCAACAAACAGCAAAACGAGTACACAACTCACGAGAATAAAGAGGACTGGAGCACAGAATTGCACTGCTGAAGCACACAGCTGACGAGAATAAAGACAGGAGCACAGAAATGAACGGGAGGCAGTCTACGAAGTGGTGGTACCATCGGTGCATGCACCACGGTACATTATCACATTATCGGCTTTACAAAGTTCGTGGGTACTGAATACCATGGTATGGCCAACTGTGTAGCAGTCTACAACGTGTAGGGAATGGCAGCTCGGCGGAATGCTGGGATGTTGCCCATGGCTCGCACCGTGTCAGGTATATGGTTCCATAACAGGCAACCGCGAGATGCCGGTCGGCATGGTTGAGACGAATACTGGGATGACTAGCAGCTCAATCTGTGGTCGCCGATTATCTTGTTTACTGCAGCTGGTGACTGGGGATGCTGCATGGAGGTGAGGATCCGAGGAGCGAAGGTATGCTTCCCTGATGCCAGGACGAACCCTTTCTCGTCCGGAGACGCATGCGCTGCTTTGCCCCGGGATGTTAGTCGAAAAGCTGGGGTGACAGGTGTTGCCTGCGCCTGCTTGAGTGGCACCTGTGGTACTGGAATCCTGGACCTCAATTCAGGTTTCCGCTGCTGTAGCACTTGCTGCTGCGCTGGAGGCGACAGCTGCTGCTGGTGGACTGCGCACAGCCCTTGGGCCGGTGTAGCGACCTGGCTAACCTCAGGCTGCTGGTTTGCAGCTGCGGTCGCAGCCAGGGTCAACTGCTGGTCGCCGTTCTGCACGCTGTTCTGTACGGTGCTGGTGTACGTACGGTGTTGGCCGGGCAGCGATGTACGCTTGGGACAGTCACCAGGTCATAACTTTGGTCTACTTCGCTTGATTTTCACAATCTAGGGCTCGTTGGAAAGCTCTTGGCAGGAGCAACGCCAGGATGCCTAGCTCCATTATGAAGGTCAAAATTCTCACCGGAGCTCGGCGGGTTTTGATGGTGCTGAAAACGACAGTTCCCTGCAAGCTAGGAATCGGTGAAAATGAGTACAGGGTGTACCACTGGGGTCGAACCCAGACATGTTACCACTGTGAAATTGAAAATTGTACTGAATTCATAGGCTTCTCAAGTGAACTCTGTGGCTGGAAAAGTTGTCCAGTATCGTTTTTTCTTCCAAATTACACTAAATCTGTCAAATTGTTGACCTGAAAAGCGAGTACGGAAAACTCTGAAAAATTCTGCAAAATGGCACTGGGCAGTACGCATGGGTGTAGAGGGCACTTGGCAACACTGGTGTGTGCGTGTGCATGTGGGGGGGGGGGGGGGGGGGCGTTGTTAGATTGTGTAAGCATGTGCAATGGAGTGAGGATCTCCTTATACTTTATATCCGTCGTACCTTTAGTGGGACAAAGGTCAACCAATAACCAGTCCGACCATTCAGTTATGACCCGCTCTGCTATGTACATGTACTGTGTTCTTTCCACAGGATCTACAAGCGGAGAGAAGGGAACGGCTTCGCGTCGAGGAGATAGCTGCTCAGTTTCAGCTGCAGAACAAGCTCCTGCAGCAGGAATGCCAGCGCATGAAGCAGCAGCTGCAGCAACAGCATAGAGACGCAGAGCTTGCCAAATCCAGGTAAGGTCTTTCTGCCTTCTGTCTTCCTGCACAGCATGCCGGGTTTGGATCATAGCCGCAAAGCCAGCAGTACTGTCGGTCACCGAAGAACAAACGGGCTAAAATTTCACCAAGCACAGTATGCCTGTGTGTATGCGCGGTGGCTCAACTGTAGCCAGCAGTACGTGAAAACTCCAAACGGCCTAGTCTACGACTCTGAACCCCCGCTCTTCGGCACCAAGCAGTACTGCATAGTTCATTGGATTGTAGACATGCACGTACACGTAGTGACGTGTAAAAGAACAACAAGGAAGGGGAGTCACCCTGTGAGAAAACCTAGACAACTCACATGTGAGGAGTCCCGAATACATGTAGGCATGCGTGCATGCGAAAAAATTAATATAGAGTGCCATATAAAACACGTAAAATCATAGCCATCTCGAATACCAGAATACTGCTCTCTGACTCACCAGCATCATGCTTATAGTTGTTGTAATAGGGAGGTTTCGCTCTACGTAATTGCGTATGAAAATCCGTATGCCGTACGCGCCGGGGAGCGAGGGCAACTTTCATACGTAAATCTCTCTACGGATTTCCATAGGAAAGCTCTTTCCTATGTTGGGTCCTCCGTAAGACTTTTTGAAATATTTTTCGCATTTTCCGGATTTATCCAGGGCAAAGTTCAAGCCGCGCGAAACACAAGGTACACACACCGTACACCAAGTGCAAAATAAGATGGAAACGCGGTTTCGGTTCGTAGTGCATGCGGTGGGCGCATGCAGCCAACGAGTCTCCAAAGCAACAAGGCATGTTTAGCAGTCGTGGAGAAATCACGCAAAGCAAAACCCAACAGCTCTGATTTTGCGTATGAAAATTACGTGCAGTTCCTACGTTATTTTCATACGTAATTCCGTAGAGCGAAACCTCCCTAATGTTGGACAAAGGAACGGACAACTTGTAAATCTTTGGTCCTCCTTTTTTTTATACTGTTCTGAATATTAAAACAGAGAGGTTCATCCTCTTATTATTGTTTGTACTGTTCTGAATATTAGATCTTTTTTCATTTTGTTCATAGCTATTTTAAGGTCTTTTTTCATTTGTATTTGTTGTTGTGTGTTCCCTTGTTCACCATAGTGTCGGTTCAGCAAGCAATACTGCACGATCTACCGTCTCCTCACGAACCACATCACCCACGTCCTTACTGGCCGCAGGCTTGCAAACTACAGAGACAAGATCATTCATGCCACACAAGAATATCAGCGTTGCCCAGGTACGTTGCAGTCTGTCGGCCCTTCTCGAATAGTTTTGTTTGTGTATATGTATGTGTGTGTGTGGGGAGGGGGGGGGGGGCGGGGGCACTTGTGTGTGGGTGGGTGCTCGTGTGTGTGTGTGGGGGGGGGGGGGGGGTGTACATTCGTTCCCTCCTCACACACTGCTACTAGTACCATGTTTCCGATAATGCTTGCGTGTCAATGTGGTGGGGTAGACATGTAGAGCTGCTGCTGCACATCTATTACATGACCACCATACGGGCCACCAATGTTGGTTCCAACTCCACGCAACACTTGCATCTATGGGTCACATGACATCGGCCATGTTGGTTCCACTGTCCACATGCCATGGTCGCTTTCTACCCAACCTTAGTCACATGACAAAGATGTGAACACCACTCTATTTCCTTCATCATTGGTATCATGCCCATTGCGTCTTGGCCCACGTGCACGATTAGGTCAGGATCGAAATTTTCGGTGCTCAATATTTTCGGTATGAGGGCAAAAGGCCAGGTTAGGTGAACAGAAATTTTCGGTACAGAGAAGCAGTTCCCTATTGGATTATGTGTGTTAGTGTTCGTTCGGTGTATTGAAATTGTAAGTATGAAACAGATGCACAGAAAGAACCGAAAATAAAAGTACACCGCAAATTTGTGAAATTACAGTACACTTCACAGCTGTAAGAACATGACCGTGGAAACAAGCCTGTGTAGGCAGATTTGTCTGCTATGTGGATAGCGTATTAGTCCGAGCTCGGACGCAGGTTGCATCTGTTTCGCTCAATTGGATTTTGTGTGTGTGTGCATGTGTGTGCATGTGCGTGTGTGTGCGTGTACATGTGCACACATGTTGGTTTGCATGTGTGTGGCGTTTGTTTGTTTTGGCTTGTGGCTCACAGTCGGAAGCTAGAGTGATGGATTTTGATCGTTCCAACGGCATCCTTGTAGTGTCCCGTCCATCAGCACGTGAGAATCAACTGCTGCGGGGAGCGGGTCTCGTCAAGGTCAGTACGACAGTACGACAGTATCATTGTAATGTTCTTCACAACCTGTTCTCTTCCTCTTGTCTTGGTCATACTGCAATGGTCATAGTCGTGTTACTACAATGAAATCATATCAAGTCAGGCAGCTGTGCGCCCTGCCCGACTGAAAATCTCAGTGCCCGCCAGTTAAGGGCTGCACAGCACCCGGCGCGTACTTGCCTCACGCAATCGGATTTTGTTAGGCAGCACTGTAGTATTGGCATGTTGCTACTGTGCCCCTTGCTTTGTGCCTACCTCTGTGCATCCACATTGACCACTCTCTTTCTCTCACTGTCTCTTTCTCTCCCTCTGTCTCTGTCTCTCTTCTCTCTCTCTCTCTCTCTCTCTCTCTCTCTCTCTCTCTCTCTCTCTCTCTCTCTCTCTCTCTCTCTCTATCACTCACTCTCTCTCTCTCTCTCTCTCTCTCTCTTCTCTCTCTCTCTCTCTCTCTCTCTCTCTCTCTCTCTCTCTCTCTCTCTCTCTCTGTCATGTACACACCCATGCACTGTATTGCCTTGCAGGTATCACTGCAGGATTCACGACACATGGAGTATGTCAACATACACACACAGCGTATCCGTGATGTCAGTGTCAGCCGGGACAGCGTTGCTCTGACTGCTAGTGAGGACAAATCTCTTCGCTTGACCAGCATGATCAGCAACACTGTCGTACAGAAGTAAGTTCTAAATAGATTATTGGTTGGAGGGGGAAACAAATCAACACACGAAGGTCCTTGCTTGCTGCCGTGTTAATCACCATTGTATTCGACTTGAAAGTAATGGTACGACAAAACTACTAGTTACGGCTTCTGTGCTTCGTATGCTGATAAGGTCTAAATACCATGTGCATTTGAAATAACTGATCATTAGTGATCTCATGCGCTGAATATACTAGTCGGGCTGGGTACTTGAATCTCGCCTTAGTTCTGTTGTTTTAGAGCATTCTGGTCTTTATGTTTTGTGTGTGTGTGTGTGTGCCCCATTCCGCTCTGGGCGTCCTCCAGACCTAGGTTAGCAGGGCTAGTGACCCATTTTGGTGACACTCCACTGTCCTGTGTGTTGTTTTTCTTTACACAGGTACAGTGTACCCACGGCGGCCTGGGCGTGTTGCTGGCACCACGAGGAGCCACAGTACTTCTTCGCCGGCCTGCAGAACAGCAAGGTGCTGCTGTTCGACGTGCGCAACACCTCGCAGCACGTGGCGGTGGTGGGAGAGCCCACAATGGACGGTGGCGAGTCTACAGCAGCAGCAGTGCCGGTGCGCCGTGGCGGGCCTCCACTCAGCGGTCCAGTCGTGTCAATGTGCCACGTTGCTCCAGGACCAGTGTCCGGAAACTTCCGGTGAGTGCTGAGCTTAGTTTCTTGGATAGCTTCTACATCTAGTTCATTAAAAAATGTCACGGTTTGCTTGAGAATCTGTTAGGGGCCATCCGTAATTACTTTTTCACCAAGAGAAATAGTTTCGTTCATGGGTGGGTGGGTGGGTTGAGGAGGGTTTCGTTATGAAAAAATATTGATAGGTGAAACATCAATCCATTCTAGCTGTCATGTCAATGATGAACGAAAACTATATTCTATTTTTCGTTCGTGGGGGGGGGGGGGGGAGGAGGGTCATAACTAAACTTTTTCGTTTCGCGAAAATTATCGATGATTCCGGATGGCCCCTTAGACTGCATTTTCAGCATCCATCGGAACACCACCATCCTGCAAGGATCTCTTTATTTTCAGCATCCATGGGAACAGCACCACCCTGCAAGGATCTATTTATTGCAGCATTGTTAATCACTGTAATCAGTAATCAGACTTCCCGGATCAGCCAGTCTCTTGCTGGTGTACTAGTAGTACTCGGGTAGGAAAAAGTGCCGTCTGCAAACTTCCGGTGCGTGTCCAGCTCAGTTTCTTGGATTGCTTCTACTTGTAGTTGTTGTTGTATACTTTATTTACAGTGGAAATCAAAACAGGCATATTGCCTAATGACAATGGACCCACTGTGAATATAAATTTAAAGGATATTGTGGAAAAGTAGATATAGGAAAAAGAAATACTGTAGAGGCAGAACATTTCGTCGGTCAATAATTTCGTCCAACTCCAAAGAAAGGGAGTTCGTCCGATTGAAAATTTCGTCCATGGATTATAAGAGTGTACACTCAAACGCCTCTTATCCGGACGCCTCAGATACGGGCACGTCTCTCTACCGGGCACCTTCAGCTTGAGTTCCTATAGCACAAATGCTTCGAATTTGGGGGTTTTGAACTTTTTTCCGTATGAGGAAGTGCTTATTTTTCACTGCCAACCTATGTAATCCACACATTTTTATCAATGGGTTCCTTTTGTATCCTGAACATGTGCAATACGTTCCAAATAAACTTCTTCAAAAATGATATGATACATGGTAGATGAGTTATCCTGAGATACGGGCAAGTCTGAGATACGGGCAGTGCCCGGTCCCAAGGTGCCCGGATAAGAGACGTCTGAGTGTACTTGTATAGAAAAGCTGGACAAATCAACATTAGTCCAGCATTTAATTTACAGTCAACTTCGCTAATAACGACTGCGGATATAACGACAATTCGCGAATAACGACAGAATTTTCATGCCCAGAGCAAAGTCCCATCTAACTGTATACATTTAACTTTGGATACAACGACTATCTGAATAACGACAATTCGCGAATAACGACATGCTTTTAGTGCCCCGAGGTCATATTCACTGCTTGAATAACGACTTTCTGGGCTTTTGACAGCTATTTCAAGTACGTGTCATGCAGAAGTACCAGAACCCATGCCATGCATGGCGATGGATAAAGGCACACATGCAAGAAGGGTGCAGCCAAGGGGGGGGGGGGGGGGTACTTTTATTTTTTGCTTCTAAATACATGTTGGAGTGATCAGCACAGCTACAATGTCCTGTAGTTGTAGTTATACATGATTGTACAGTAATCATCATACATGTCATGTACATGTCCCTGTAGATGGCTCCTAAACTTGCAAAAGGCTAATTTTTCCAATCTATTTCCCTTCCATATCGACTTTATAGTTCCTTTCAATTGTAATATGAAAATGGGGTACACGTTGGCATAGAGCATTAAAAAAGCTTCATTTTGATATGCGTGTCATACTATACAAAATATGGGTTCACATACATTCAAATGGGACTTCGGGTATAAGGACACTTCGCGAATAAGGACATTTTTCCGATGCCCCGCCGAATGTCGTTATTCGCAAAGTTGACTGTAGTCCAAAAATTCCTTGGACGAAAAAGACGAAATTAAATTCCAGACGAATATTTCTGCTTACACAGTAAAGGAAAACGGTTCATTAGAGCATTGCTAATTTGACCCCCAGATCAGCCTGCCTGGTTCCTGTGTGCTAGGGTATGGGAAAGTGTTTTTCCGACCGAGTATGATTGTTTAAAGTTTTTATGTCGGCCCTACGACGACGGCTGCAATGGCCAACCGGGCAACAAAGAAGTTGAGGCCTAAGAGAGAGATTTATTTTTCTTGTGCATGCGTATTGATGTGTGCGTATGATGTAAGCATCAGGTCGCTACAGTACTCCCCTGCCAGTAACAGTTGCATGCGACGAAGAAACTGTGATGGACTTTTATCGCCCAGCTCTTCTTCGGGTAACAACTTCCGCAGGCGGCTTTGCTCCGGTTCTTGTGTTCAGGTGATCAAATTGTCCTTTAATTGATCGTAGGGGTCAGAGGAAGGAAGGGCAAGGCCAGGTCCCTAACCTCCATTGCAAACTCGTGGGACAGAGAGCTCACTACATAGTCAAACTTTGTACGCTGAGCCGTGATATGTCGAGTGTTAAACATGGCCTCCGCTTGGGCAAACCACACTTGCAGATCAGCAGGTCAGTAAGGAAGAAGCTTAACTGAAACAGCAGCTACACTGACACTATCCCTGGGGGGGGGGGGAACAGGTGCTGCAGCTGGCTGGGTGGCAGTAGGTACATGTCCAAGCTGTGCAAGTTGAACTTGCAACTCTTGCTGTTGCTTCTGTAGTTCAACCACTGCTATCATAGGGGCAATCGTGCCGCCTGGCCATGTGGTCTGAGACTGAGTAGCCGGATATGTCCCTCTGCCGAGTTTACCAGTAGGAGTGTCCGTTGAGCTCATCATAGTATTCGATAGCAAAGTGTTAGTGACCGTAGAAAAATCCTGGTGAATTCAGAAACGCTGAGGTCGTGTGGAGATTTAGGTACCGGGTTCCCACCAAACCGGAATGTCCGAGTAAAACCCGGCTGAATTATCACACTAACACCACCCAGGACTCTGCATTGTCTTTTCTAACATAATTCAATAGAATGGCACAAACCTGTGACTTATCTCAAGCAAGAAGAACACATCCTGGACATGTACAAGAAAAGAATTCTCCAACTAACTATCACGCTGCTTGAGAGGCTGGAGACGTGTATGTGTCATCTCTCTCTCACTGGGTGAACCATACAAAGCAGCATCCAGGTCAGTGTTTCCATCACTGTCGCACCCTCCCACAGCAATGGCTTGCCGTCTTGACGAGGACACTGCAATCCGTGAAGGGGTCACTGTGGCAGGGCTAGAAGATACTGAGCCAGTTGCGGTGGATGCTTGCACATCCTCGCCTGAATACATGGCAGGGCTTGTTGGCTGCTGGCTCTGCACTGCTGCCATTCCTGATTGCACCTTTGCAACGGATACAGAAGTTATACTGTTCTTTGGACCATACCCGGGGACACTCTTGAAGTACATATGCCAGGACTTGAAATTCAACCACGTCGCGTAGGCAGACTCCAAGTCGTACGATGCATCATCACTGGGATCACCTGCAGGGGATCCGGTCGCAATCTTTCGGCGCTACCTTTTATACTGCTCCTTGGCCTTTGTTATCAGGTTGTTGATCTTATTATGGATCATGTTGGCTGTGAATGTGCAGCCAGGCTCGAGGGCTCCGATTTTGTGAGCATAGAGAATCGGATCAGATCCACCAACCAGAGGCCAAAAGCCGAAATCCTATCTGCTACCCTTGATTGTACTGTACGTGGCCACAACTTCCATCGATACATGATGCAGTGTCCGCGTTTACTTTTGCCGTCTCTTGTGATTCTGATTTTAGTCGGGTGAAGTACAGAGTTCATTCTGTGAAGCGAGTACTGAATAGCCAAATACTCCAGGTCGCACTGTTCATGTCGAAGTAGAAGAAAACATTGGGGGGGGGGGGGGGGGGGGGCAGTTCTTCCGCTTTGTCCAACTGTCGAGGGTTCTCACTGTTCTCAAACTTCACCGCCGGTTTCTTCCTGCACTCAACAGGACGCTCACTGGTGGTGCCAATGGTGCTGTAGTGGTATATGTGTGTGTGTGGGGGGGGGGGGGGTTGGGTGTACATGTACGTACTTGCGTGTGTACGCGTGTGTGCGTGTGCCATATCTAACTGTGGCTGTTTGATTGTGTTATTGTGTGCAGTGCTGGAGGACTGTTGGTGTGTCGCACCACTGGCCTGACTTTCTATCAACATGACAATGGAGCAGACTACAGTGTGGTTCCCATGCTAACTGGTTAGTCGTTCTCTCTCGCTCTCTCGCTCTCTCGGTGCATTTTATTTTAGGTAAAAATAGTTGGCACCGAAGTTACCGAAAATAAAACACCATTGGAAATGTCTGCTTTTACAGTACCGTTACAAGTGGGGACAAACGGCCTGGATTGGCATGGCTTTACCCACCTAATTCCGTGCTTTTGGGACAAAACCTGGTCGAAAATCCCATTCTTGTTTATACGGCTTGCTTTTCGGAGAAGTAGACTTCAGAAACATAATTATTAGAAGAGCATTCCATGGGGGATTGCAAAGAAATCTTTTTTTACACTCAAGTTTGACCCATTTATTGCCAAAAGCAAGAAGCTCATCTTTTTATGAATGGCCTGTAGTAGGACACGGATGGAGAACTAAGGATTGAATTTGAAAGAAAGGACCAAAAATTCCAAAATGTTTGATGTTATCCGTAGTTCGTGTCCAAAGTTGGAAGTTGGAAGGCTGTTGGTTTGCGCATCCAATACGTGATGGAGCTTATCATCAGGTGGTTGAATGTCAGTATCACATCAGTCAGTATTATGCTAGCTGTTGCACCTTCTGACTACACAACATTTTGCTTATAACTGCCGTTAGTGTTGGACACAAACTACAGATAACATGTAACATTTTGGTCCTTTCCTTTAAAATTGGACTGTGGTAGGTTTTTTGTTTTACTTGGGAACTCACAACAGGTCGAGCCATTTTGCAACGAACCCTAGGAAAAATTTGGTCTGTGATAGAAGTTCAGGAAGAAATGCAGCTTGTCGGCATTCATTCGCATAGAAGTACATTCCACCTGTCCACACCCGAATCCGAATTTTCGTGCATGCCATAGCGGGAGAAAACTTGGGGTATGGATAATGCAGCGAAATGTGTACTGGGAATTTTCCATTTCAAGTGTTGTTAGTTTTCTTTCTTATTTGAATGACGCGCAGCAGATCCGTACACATTTTCTTTCTGTGTGTTACAGCGTAGAGAACCTCATCTATGTGTAGAAGTCTAAGCCCAATGCGCATGCGAAGCCGTAGACTCTAACCCAGAAGCCTGCTCTGTACAGGATTTCTCTACATTTCACGTGAAAACGTCTCCATTATCGGACAACCAACCGAGAAAGCCAAACGAAAACAAAAGGAGAACACTGAGAATTTGAGGAGAAAAAAATGAAAATCAACAACGGGCAATGTCTCTCGCGCTAAACAGGAACTACTCTGGATAGGTTTTTGGGGGGGGGGGGGGGAGAGATGACAGTCATTGATGGCTAGAGCCAACGTGTCCGCCACTGCTAAGTCCACTGATTGACCATGGTGGTCTCGGAGGCTGGCGGCAGCTTAACATACCAGCGAGAAAGAGAATTTGGAGCGGATCTAGTCCATCGCAATGGAGATGGGCTCCTTCGTCTTGTCTCACAGGAGGCCTTCTCAACTTCTCGCAACTTCTCCTCGCGTGCTCACTTCTTCTCTTATTCAGAGGGTGGGTGGACGCAAAGGAAGAGAGGCTTGGTTCGAACGAACATATGGTTTGAAAGCCCGGACATCGATGAGTGTTGTTGATGCCTGTTTGCACACTCTGATTACCCATAAGCACAGTTTCCGGGGTTTTTTTTTTTACTATGTTCACTTACCCAGCTCGAAAAGAATAATGAGTGTAAGGCAAGAGCCGACGTGGATGGCAGGCAATCGTCTTCAGTGTCTGTGCGTTGCCAAGCAGCATCCCTGATAGCGTTTGGTAGTACAGCTTGCCAACTATGCGCAGGAATGCGAGAAAACTGGCATCACCATCTGGAGCACACTCTACATCACAACGCTACATAGTCAGTGCCAAGTCTATGTTGTCAATGTACTCTGCAATGATGAAATGATGGCAAGCGTGATTGACTCATCATGTTGCACTGCCCTTAATGTTTCCGGTTTCTTTACCACCTGAAAACTTCCCTGATGGCGTTCAGCCAGGCTTCATGCTGCTCCTCGGCGTTGCCCCTTGGCAGCTGCTTGAACAGGTCATATGGACCATTGGCGTCGAAGGCTGCCTTGTGCTTCTGGTAGTACAGCGTGCCAACCATGCGCAGTAAGGCCATGAAGCTGGTGTCATCCTCTGCTGTCAACATTCCGGTTTCTTTACCACCCGAACACATGAGTGATAATAAACAAAATCATCCTCTGTGTCTGTGCGTTGCCAAACAGCATCCCTGATGGCGTTCAGCCAGGCGTCATGCTGCTCCTCGGCGTTGCCCCTTGGCAGCTGCTTAAACAGGTCATATGGGCCATTGGCCTCGAAGGCTGCCTTGTGCTTCTGGTAGTACAGCGTGCCAACCATGCGCAGGAAGGACATGAAGCTGGTGTCATCCTCTGCTGTCAACGTTCCGGTTTCTTTACCACCTGAACACATGAATGGTAATAAACAAACAGAGAGAGTAGGCAGTTCTTGCACAGCAAGCAGAGAACAGTCTGCTTCATCCATGCACTGCAGTCACACAGAAGATAGGCCAGCTTCTCATGATGGATGGAATTCATGAGCAGCAGCTGCTATGGCTTTGCGAGTTGCTCATACCTTGTAGCCACACGGATACTCCTTCCATTGAGTGACGCTGGTGCAAAACCCTGTTGCTCTAGGGGGGCCAGAGATGCATGCCATTGGGGTATGGATGTGTAACAGAGATGGATATGCATGCAGATAGGGTATGGATAATTTATGTCGTATAAGGGGGCGCCTCTTTACCCTCGAGGAAAGCAAATAATATTGTTGGGAGAACAGAAAATACAAAACTCACATACTCCTCACGTTCACAACAACCCACGTACCCTCTCACCAACGAAACTCCTCACGCCGTCTGCCAAGCCGTCCGCCATCTCCAGGAGCGCTGCTCAGCGTCGACATCCTCACACTGCAGCCTCTTGTCTTCACCTTCCATCCTTCTTTTTTCAGCTTTTCTTCTGGGCACAGTTTTACGCCGTGTCCGGGACCTACTCAATGACGACGACTGATGAGAGACGATTTTAATGACGGACGATGACGACGGACAAACTTCTTGAAGACGGACCAAACTGTGACGATAGGACGACTGGAGATGACATCGGAAGCGCCAGTCTCTCCGGAGGAACATCATTGAAGTTAGTTTGATAAAGAAGACAGGTAAATCCACGACATCTCGGAGGTAGAATGGGTGACTTGCGTGGTCCAGAGTGTCAAGGCTTCTTCGGAGATGATCCGCAGCTCAGGAGACGAGATCGAGAGCGTTTACCGATGCCACCAATGTAGGATTCCCTTTCCTAAGACAAGATTCCCATTCTCAGGTTTCACCAGGCACTCAAATTGTTCATATCGATAGTAAAACTTGCCATGGAGGAGAAGAGAAAGAAAGGCAAGAAACACGTGAGCATGCGCGCGGCTTACAAGGCCAGCGATTCGTCACGTGGACAGGAGCAGGAAATACGAAATACAAATGTAAGAAATAGCTATGATTACAGTAATACTCAAGTAATCATTGGCCTATATTACAGATACATGCAGATTGGGTATGGATGTGTTACAGGGCTGGAGATGTATGCAAAATGTAATGGGGTATGGATGTGTTACAGGGCTGGAGATGTATGCAAAATGTAATGGGGTATGGATGTGTTACAGGGCTGGAGATGCATGCAAAATGTAATGGGGTATGGATGTGTTACAGGGCTGGAGATGCATGCAAAATGTAATGGGGTATGGATGTGTTACAGGGCTGGAGATGTATGCAAAATGTAATGGGGTATGGATGTGTTACAGGGCTGGAGATGCATGCAAAATGTAATGGGGTATGGATGTGTTACAGGGCTGGAGATGCATGCAAAATGTAATGGGGTATGGATGTGTTACAGGGCTGGAGATGCATGCAAAATGTAATGGGGTATGGATGTGTTACAGGGCTGGAGATGCATGCAAAATGTAATGGGGTATGGATGTGTTACAGGGCTGGAGATGCATGCAAAATGTAATGGGGTATGGATGTGTTACAGGGCTGGAGATGCATGCAAAATGTAATGGGGTATGGATGTGTTACAGGGCTGGATATGTTGCATAAGGAGGGCTGGATACATGCAGATTGGGTATGGATGTGTAGCAGGCACACGAACTGCAGTACACTCTCTCGTATTACGGTACCCTCACCCAGTAGACATCACATGGTGGTGGACAGTGTACTACAATGTAGAACCATGCGTGTGTGTGTGTGTGTGTGTGTGTGTGTGTGTGTGTGTGTGTGTGTATGCATGTGTGTGTATGCATGTGTGTGTGTGTGTGTGTGTGTGTGTATGCATGTGTGTATGCATGTGTGTGTGTGCATGTGTGGTTATCATGTGTGTACGTTCTGGTGTCCACTGTTTAGGCAACACGTACAACGTATCGTGGGAGTCTGGTGTTCGCCATGGTCTGGTGTCACTGCGTCCGGGCAAGAATAGCAATCATGTACAGCATATGGTAAGTTATCAACTGAGATGCTCAGCCCATGCACACATGTCTCAACTGAGCTGCTCAACCTACGCATACCTGCCTCAACTGAGCTGCTCTACCCATGGGCACACGTCTCAACCTATGCATAAATGACTCAACTGTGCTGCTCGGCCCATGCATACACGTCTCAACTGTGCTGCGAAGCCCATGCACACAGCCTTAGCTAAGCTGCTCAACCCAGGGCGCGAAATAACGATCGGACAATTTCCAACCGTTTACGGTCAGTTTCCGGATGTTTTATACACATCCGGACAAAGTGTCCGTGCACATTTTTGCAAAGTACAAAAAAGAAAGGGCACATCAATCCTTTGTCTCATAGTCATTAGTGATGTCGTCTGGCAAGAGAAAGCCAAGCACCGCTGATGCGGGTGCTCCTCTGGGAAAGAAGCCCAGAGGAGTCAAGACGACCACTTGTGACAAGTGGGTCGCCGAGTATGATAGGAAGCTTTCAACTTCTGTTTGGCTGAATGAGCGCAGTCCCTCAGATCGTAGCGCTGTCGAAAATTTTAATTTAAGATGTGTTCCCGTTTTGTTGATAAAATTCGCAGCAGCAAGAATTTTTCTGACTCCTTCGTCGTTGGCTCAAGGAACCTGAAAACATGAGCCTTCAAAGATCATGCTGCTTCTGAAATGCATCGTCGTGATAACATTTCGATGGTATTAATTCTACGCGGAACATTGTGTGATTTGATGTGAAAATTTGCATGTCCGGACATGTCCGGCCATTTTTGCAACTGGCAGGACATTGTGTCAGAGCACATTTTAATCCTTAGCGCATGCCCTGTCAACCCGTGCATACATGCCCCAGTTGAGCTGCTCAACCTATGCACACATGTCCCAGCTGTGCTGGTCTGCCCAGGTGTACAATCATGTTTACGTATTAGTATCCCGTAATGGTCATCTTTCACAAATTTTGTTTTTGTCGACGAATGTCGAGCATCTCGCCAGGCTACATGAAACTCTCTGCTGGTGACTTTCCACTGTTCACTGGTGTAGCAGTTTGAACCATGGCATGTGATGTGGAACTTTGCCGCCGTCCTCGCAGCACTGGATACATGGCGTTGTGTAAGCAGTTGCTGCACACTCTTCGGTGTTATGTACTCTTGGTGGCGTTTTCTTTTACTGTATACCGGTATTAAAGCAGAAATATTCGTCTGGAATTTAATTTCGTCTTTTTTGTCCAAGGAGCTTTTGGACTAAATTAAATGCTGGACTTATGTCGATTTGTCCAGTTTTCAATACACTCTTGTGATCCATGGACGAAATTTTCAACCGGACAAACTCCCTTTCTTTGGAGTTGGACGAACTTATTGACCGATGAAATGTTCTGCCTGTACAGTATACAAACTGCTCGTGTGCTCTCGTTTACAGCTGTTCCAGCTGTCCAAGTCGACCGATTCATCGGCACTCCATCAACCCACCGGCAGCATGGCTGCCTCGGCGGGTGCTTCTTTCTCTTCTGCTGTTGCCGCTGGTGGTGGTGGTGGTGCGGGTCACCCTCGCTTTAACTGTGTGATGCCGCTGACGGGCGGTGTGTCGGCAAGGCTGCTCTCCAAGTCCGCGCTGTTTGTGCACCCGGACGAGCAAGGTTCTTTGCTGGCAGCCGTTCCCGACGACTCAGCTCAAGCTGTAAGCATATGTGCAGTACAGTCTGCGTCCAGAATAACTGTGTTTCACTGACCGAACTGGCCCACTATTGAAATGTGTAGAATGCATTCAAACTTCCTCTTTCATCCTGTCCCCATGCCATCCGTCCAGTGAAGAATTGATCAGAGCAGATTTGCACGCTAGGCTTGGAGTGCCCTGCCGTATGCTTGTATGTGATCGGCTTTCCACTTCCATTCGGCTTGTGAACATGTCGTGTTGTGCTGTTAGGCAAAGTCACTTTTAAGTTTTAGAACACTGCATAGGGTATGTTTGAAGACTAAACCTGTGTCCTCCCTGCCTGCCTGCCTCTCTCCTCTCTCTCTCTCTCTCTCTCTCTCTCTCTCTCTCTCTCTCTCTCTCTCTCTCTCTCTCTCTCTCTCTCTCTCTCTCTCTCTCTCTCTCTCTCTCTCTCTCTCTCTCTCTCTCTCTATTTCTCTCTCTCTCTCCCCCTCCCTCTCTCTCTCTCTCTCTCTCTCTCTCTTTCTCTCTCTCTCTCTCTCTCTCTCTCTCTCTCTGTCTCTGTCTCTTTCTCTACTAGGTTCTCGTGTTTGACTGTCAACAAGGCACTGAGATTCAAAGGCTGACATGCCTGTCATCAGGCCAGAAAGAGATTCTTCACTCACGCCAGTTCAAGCACAACGGTGAGCACTTCATCAGCGCTCTCACCGAGACCAACCTGGCGCTGTTCCGCTGGACATGACATCATCCCTGCTGGACATGACATAATGCCTGTGGACATCATGCCTGTTGTTAGCGTCCCGCTGGACACTCCCATGTTCTGGTGCAAACTTGAGAATAGTGACATGGATGCAAGTTGCCACGAACATGTCAGTGATCAAAGTTCCTATGCATGTACACGTGTAAGCATACACTGGTCAATATCCGCGGTGATGCAGTGCTGGATTTTTACTCTTCGAGAGTGTGTCTGTGTCAATGATAATGGCCGCGTGTAACGTGTTAGTTGTCATGTACCGTGCGTAGTGCCTGTCGTTGGTGCGTAGTGCAACAGCATCAGCAGCGGCGTGGCGTAGTGCATACCGCTGTGGAGCTTCATTCACTTACTGTGCTGCACTGTGAGTAACTTTGCATTGAGTGGTGCATGCTTCTGCCGCTGCTGCTTCAACCTGGACTCCTATTAAATACCACTCTTGATCCGGTGGCCAATTCTACCCGGTCTACTGCTTGTCCACCACGATCATGACAATGGTCCTAACATTATCAACTTACCACTAAAACAGGGTCCTGGCCTTGGTAGTTGTGTGCAGTTTGGTGTGCTTATGCCTTATAGTCTGTTTCATTTTTTTGTCTTTCTCTAAATCGTGAGAGTTTTACTTGACTCTAGCCGTGGTTCTATGTTAGATGCTGGCGTGTAGTGCAAGCAAACAGCTGTGTGCGTGTTTAGTTGTGGCCGAATCTCATGCGCTACTAAAGCTAGCCGCTTGTGTAATGTTTTTTTTTTAATCCTTTTTGGATTTCTATTCTTACAGCAGGTTGCATTGTTATTCTCTACTTTGGTGCAAATTCCAGTCGTGGCTTCTGGGGCTGGACCTCAAGCAAGCGATTCAAAAAAAAAACCTGGTGGATGTGTTTTGTCGAGAAATGTACTTGCTGGCAGTGACCTGTGGCAGACTGTTCTGAACCCACACTGTGCTGTCATTACTGTATAAGTCGATCTTGTATGACCTGAAAGCCGAGCTATAGAACATAATCAACTTGCAACCGGGGTTTAATTTACCGTAACGTTGCGTACAACAGCCAAGCTTATTCCTGTGGAAGCCGATGTCAATACTAGGCTTCTATACACATCAGGCTTCTGTTCGAACCAGGTATTTCTATGTGTGTCAACACTAAAACCAGGCTTATGTGCTGACAGTGTACATGTACATGTATCTTGATAGTCACGCTTGTATTCAAAAACAGGCTTACATGAGATAGGGTTAATACAGGACACTACTGTACAAGCCATGCACATTACTCGACCGTACCGACACACACTGTAGAACTTTAAAAGCAGTCTGGAAACACTATTTTACCAGCTTCACAATGCGGAGCCAATACCGGTAATTGAAAGTTGAAACCAATTCGCAAAATCAACTTCACCATAAATAGTACGTAAGGTGTGCAGAGAGTGTGTAGGCTAGCTGCAAAGGATAGAATCACATTCACTGATAGACAGCACAGGCTGCACATTGATTCTCTACACAGTACAGTGCGCGATGTACTGTGGATAGCTAAACAGCAACCTGCATCACTCGCGGGCCTGAATTTGAAAATGCAGCAGTTCGCTATGCTAGAAATCAATTGTATGCCGGGGGAGATAATTTGACAACACACGATTATTATATATACAGAGCTTCCACGGCAGAACCGCGGTGGCAGCCACTCGTTCAGCCGCACAATAGCCAATGGCTACATGCAGGTACGTGAATGCAGAACGACAGCAACAAACACTCGCTCTTGTCCTGTCACAGGTCCCTTGCAGATCTATTGACTGAAGGATACATCCAGGACTGAGACGCGCACGAGCAAACACTAAATCGAACCACGCCGAACAGACTGGGCTGATGCCGTGATGGTGCCAATAAGTCACCGTATAGGTTACAGATCCTTTTCCAGCTCGGGATAGTCGTACGTGCGATGGTCAGGTGGATTGGCGCGATACATGTTGGACAGCCGCCACCTCTCTCGGGTCGGGTTTGGTGGAATGTCGCCGTCGCGATAGTGCAGTCTCAGCTCATGTTCGCGTGCCATCTCTATCTTCTTCAGCCTCCGTTGTACCTTTCTCGCCGGTTCAAACATCAGGCCCAGAGCCGAACCCATCAACACGATGGTCGAAAAGGTCAGGAACGGGTACGTTTGACTCACCCTGAAGGCGAAGTGCACGGCAGGATATCTGGACACCGTGTGCATAGCACTGCCCTTCCTCGGGCCGAGGACGTGAAAGGCAGCGTTCGGCATTTCCCTAACTGTGCAGAATGGCTACTGAAACTCCAACAAGCAAACAGCCAAACTGCCTCGATCCTTGTCCAGGCAGAGCCGCGATGAAATCAACAGTATCACACTAGGCAACACTGCCTCCTTCCAGCTCGCCAAGAGAAGTGGACTGGTCGGAACGGTCGTCCTCAGAGCGAGAGGAGACGAAGAACACAGTCCCACAGTTTCGCTTGGTTTCTCCCTCACCAATAATATTACTTTTCGGCTGTTCATGGCCTGGGCCGGGGGGACTTCTTTCGTCGATCTTTTTTTTACGCTAGATCTATCTTCAATATCGGCGCTTGTTGCTATGCGCTAGTGTTGCGAACTAAATGCTGGTTTAGAGCAGGAATTCTTCTCAACGTCAGCTGGTCAACCTCGTACAATATTGCAAAACCTGGAAAGGTTTCAATCCCAAAACTAACTAATTATTAATTTTACTTGGCGCAGTTCAGATCATGATCAGCTTGTGCATGACGTCATGAACAACGTGATCATCGTGAGTTCTGCTCAAAAGATAAAGAGCAGATCTATTTTGAAATTAAATTCTGGGAGCTTTCTTCATTGTTTGTGGAGTCCTGTTCCCAGTCCAGTGTTGCGATGGCAAGTGGCCCAGCGTCGCCACTGTTGGTGGTCGAGTGGCTGCAGGGGAAGCTGAAAGCTGCAGCGGGCACGTACCAACACATGGTGGCCACGGACCCAGCCATTGCCAGTCATTTGGAGAATTTCCTGAAAGGTGCCTCCTACGTTATACCAGGTAAAGAGATGTTATCGAGCAGCTATGAATCTCTTTTAGGTACAGGTTGGTTGATACTACAAGTTGACAGTACCACGTATGCTCATCATGCATAGTGGATATCTTCGTTGCAGTTCTGTTGTCCCAGACGTAGGTTTAGCAATCGCGGGTGTAGGGTGCATGAATGTTGAAACTCCACTGCTGAAGCTGAGATTTTATCTTCAGAGCTAGAAGCAATTCACGCGAAAGTACGGGCACAGCGTAGTTCTTGAAGTGCATGTCTCTCACAGCAGAGAGACATTGCCATGATCCCTTCAGCTAGACAGTCACTGAGTGGACCATCGCAGTCAGCACTGGCTCCATTGTGCCGAGGCAATGTGTTGCATTTTTGGCCACAGAGAACAAACTAGCAAATGCGATGTAGTCACGTGTGGAGTGTGTACATGTGCTTGTATAGTACTATTGGAAACGGAAGAATGTACTGGAAGAAGAGGATCGATCAGCTACAGCTATGTATAAAGAAGCATGACAAGCACAACCTGGGCGGTGGATATCCCTGTGCCAAAGCGAGTGCATGCCGTGCTTCGGCTTCATGTAGCGCAAAAAAATGTGGTACAAGTCACACATGTTTAGCACTAGCAAATCCAGCTGCCGACATGTATGTGAGTGTAAAAAACACACAATACAAGCCATGCACACGTCAGCACGGAAAAACACGGCAAGATACGGAAAATCAGAAGTCGCGGTACACAAGACAGACCCAGTTGGTTGGCGGCTCTGCTTGTTGGTTATGGTACCGTGTGTGTGTGTGTGCGTGCTCGCGTGCGCGCGTGTGTGTGTGTGTGTGTGTTGTGCAAGCACATGTATGGGAACAGACGGCGCAAGATGATGTTGCAGAAAGGCTTGAGAAAGTAAGCCCGGACTGCACATCATCTAATAGTTACGCATTAGTTTGTTCTCACGGCCGTGAAGCGCTGTGTGATGGCTCCTTTACTGAAGGAGTCGGTTGTTAATTTTGTTATTGTCTCCAACTGTGATTGCAGATACATGTAATGTAGATACAGCTACTTTGCTTTTAGTTTTGTCTATGACTTGACTGCTGCTGCTGCTGTCTCTTTCGGTACGTGTTTCTTGTCTTGTTGCTCAGGTGCATCGGAGGAGTTCTCTGAATTGAGTAAGGACAAGGGCCGGTAGTGCTGTCTTCTCTTTAGCTCCTTGTGTTTTGTCCTTCAGGGACTGTTGTTTTCTTGCTTTCTTGTTGCCAACTGTTACTGCTTTCCCAACGACTTTGTGCTCTTTGTAAGACAAAGTGTTCTGACGAGAGATGTTCACATCACGAGTGCACAATGCATTACTAGTACCGCCGGATTATCTGTAGCAAGAACGGACCACAGGTGTATGTGTGTGTGTGGGGGGGGGGGGGGGGTGAGTGTGATCTCCGGTAGCCTAAGCCTAACTGGTTGGGTAATATCAACAATCAATGGCTCGAACCCACGACTCATCTCTCCCCCCCCCCCCCCCTCCCCCGTGAGTAGGTACAGCTTGAGAATACAGTCTGTTGTGGACTGGGAGCAGTGTAGCGGGGGGGGGGGGGCACGGGCATCTGTTTTCCCGGCAGAGTACTCAGTAGGGAAGAGTTCCAGACAGGCGGGGATGCTGGGGTTCCAATTCTGCTCCTGGATCCCTCTTTTGCAACATATCATCCCGCCGGATGTCAAGGGAACAGGTAAACAATGACTGGCCTCTATTCAGCATGGCATGAGTCTCTCACTGTACAAGCTACAGCAGTACTACTGGACCTGTGTGTATGCGCACACGCACGCACGTGCGCGCACACACACACACACATGTACATACACACACACACCCGCACGCACGCACAGCATGCACACATCATGTACACAAACACACACACACATGCACTCACTCACACACACTCGCGCACGCGCGCACGCACACACTCGCGCACGCACACACATACACACACACACACACACACTTACACACGCTGAGAGCAACACAAACTAACTTGTTTCATATTGTTGCCAGTGTGAGACTATCCCTTCCCACTGTACATGCAACACTAGTATTGCAGTGACAGTGACAGTGACTACCTATGCGTGCATGCCGTACTAGTACATGTGCTGCACACACCACACCACTCACTTTGGCCACAGAGCCAGGCTGCACAACAGCAAAAGCTGGGTGGCTCTAAAAGGAGCCAAGACCACAAGGAAAGAAAACAGAGGTGCCTTTTCAGACACATTTCTAATTACATGTACTGAAGCGGGTCCTTCACTATGTCTTATCCACATTTGTGTTATGTTTGCATGGTTTTGTTTGTGCTGCTGCTGCTGCTGCCTGTCGTGGTGGTCGTGATGGTGCTGCTGCTTATGCATGTAGTCTACGCCTTTTCCAATATCCTCAGCTACGCTCACGACGCTCTGTTGAAGCATGCTGCTGGTCTGCCACTCTGGGTAAGTCTGGTGCACAGGGCATGTGGTTACATGCACCTCTGTCTCTCCACCCAAGCTGCTCTGGCTTGTGCATTGAAGCTTTCATGGCGTCGCATTCCTTTCAAGCCTTGTTTGTGGCTATGTTGATTAGCATGTGTGCAATGATAATTACGCACGCGCACACACACACAGACACGCACACACACACACACACACACACACACACACACACACACACACTGTGGAGGAAATGGAAAGAGTTACCTGTCATAACTCTGGTTTTCAGTGTCGCAGTAACGGTGCCTCCTGCTCGTGCAATGATAACTTATCCGTCTTTTTGCAAATTCTCTACATCGGCGTATGTCCACGTGTGTGTGTGTGTGTGTGTGTGTGTGTGTGTGTGTTGTGTGTGTGTGTGCGTGTGCGCGCGCGAATGTGTGTGTGTGTGTGTATGGCATGTGTGGGTGTGCGTGTGTGTGTGTGTATATGGCATGTGTGTGTGTGTGTGTGTGTGTGTGTGGGTGTGGGTGTGGGTGTGGGTGTGTGTGTATACGTGTGTGTGTGTGTGTGGTGATACATGGTGTGTTGGTGGTGACTCGTGTGTAGATCAACACATCACCCCTGTGCCAGCGCTTGCAAATGTTCCTGACCACGCTGGAACAGATTGAAGTGTTTGTGGAGCTTGTTGCTAACCGCTATAGCACCATTCATCGATGGCTCATCATTACGCTCATCGTCTTTTCAAAGTAAGCCAACATACATGCTGCCTTTCATGCAGGTTATGTGAGGTGCTTCGTAGAGAGTGGCAAAGTCGTGGGATAATACTCCGTGCCCGTAACTTGCCGTAAGATAAGATAACATGCTATACGTGGCACCATATCCCTAAGAGTGTGCAACTCCAGTCTCCAGTCCAGTCTCCCGTACACATTATGTGCGCCCTTGGCATGACAGGTACAGGGTTGTATTCAACCCTGCTCTGAGTTTAACTCCCTGCTGGTCACTTTGCACTGTTTGCCAGTGCAACCTATTGAACCATTCAGTAGGCGCTTGCACTATTCCTGTGTCAATTTTTCAGAGCTTTGTTCTCTTTCTCTCCCCGTTCTCTCTCTCTCTCCACTCTCTCCACTCTCTCTCTCCCTCCACTCTCTCTCTCTCTCTCCACTCTCTCTCTCTCTCTCCACTCTCTCTCTCTCTCTCTCTCTCTCTCTCTCTCTCTCTCTCTCTCTCTCTTTCTCCACTCTATCTCTCTCTCTCTCTCTTTCTCTCTCCGACTCTCTTTCTCATGTGTGCATGTATGTGATTTTGTGTTCAGGACTCTGCTGCGCCTGTTCCTGCTCCACCAGCGTCCCAGCATGCAGACCTGGCCCATCATTCGACCCGTCGACCGCCAGCAACTACCGGCCATGACTACTGGCACGCCATCGAGCACTGCAGCAGCAAATGGTACCTCATCTTCGTCTTCTTCTGGTGCCAATAGACATGATAGCTCCGCAACTGCCGGCAATAGTACTAGTGTTGATAGCGCAGTAGCAGCAAGTGGAGACTCTGCTCTCCAACGCTCCTACGTGTGGCAAGGCAAGCGCATGGGCCGAGTGCTGCGTTCACTGCGAGGTATGGTGCGCGCTGTTGTGAACTGCTGGGGAAATGTATTATGTTACCAGAGGCAGTACTGCCTGTCTTTTAACGGCGGGATTCACAGAAGTAGGTCACCATGGTGTTCGCGTGGCTGGGTACAACTTTTACGAATCTACAAGCCACTCTAGAACCTTTTGTACAACTTTGCTGCAAAAAAGGCCAAAATCATATGTCACATGTCACATCGCGAAAGTTGAGCCAAGCTCAACTCCGGCGATGGGCTACTTGCGACAGTTCCGTGAGCTGCACGGTGGGTGCAATTTGGGGATTTCCCGGTCTTGCCGCCGTTGCATCGCGCATCGCAAAAATGCTTTTGTGAATCCCGCTCTATGGCTGGTTAGTGTGAGTATCTCGTAAAATTTATACGAGCTTGTCATGCTCTGGTGACCTGCTCTGTAGGTACATTTATGTGTACTCACTGCATGCACTGCATTTAACAGGATCTGAAACAACGCACCGAATGTGCATGTGTAACCTATTGTTCCGACTGTTTCTGCTACCACTGCTGTCGTGCTGATGCCACTGATTGCTGTTGCCGCTGTGTTATTGTTCTGTTGTTGTTATGCGGCGCAGACCCAGATGATTTTGATCCAGTGCGTCGCCAGTCTCTCTCGCAGCTCGTCGGTGTGTCCTTACCACCATTCTCCTCGTCGTATAGCCTTGCCGCAGAGATTATCTACACACTGCGACCTCTCACACACTGTATCCTCTCCATACTCTCTCCACTTGTGTGTATGTGTGTGTGTGTGGGGGGGGGGGGGCTTGCAAGTGGGTGTGTGTGTGTGTGGGGGGGGGGGGGGGGAGGGTATGTGTTTGTGTGTGCAGATGCAGGCGTCTGCGTGTCTGCGTATGTGCAATTGTAAGCTCTCTGTGCACTGCACTAACAACAACAACCACTTCAATACTATTGTATTGAAGTGGTGCAGTGGTCCCTTTATAATCCAGCACCATTTGTGCTACAGAAATTCTGCTGGATTAGGGAGGGTGCTGGATTAGAAAATCTGACTTGCTGCTGCACTTGTCAAGTTCATTTCGGTTACTGAAAATCATGCAAGTTTATAAAGTGATGGATTAGAGAGGGACGACATGTAGTTGCATTCCTTGACAGCTACAACTGTCTCGCCAGTGCTGTGGCTCTTGCGATGCGGATTCCGCTCCTGGAAGCCCTGGCTGCTCTCCTTAGCTCTCGATGCGACAAGGTACGACGCTCTGTCTGTATGTGTGGTTTACGTATGGTGTGTGTGTGTGTGGGGGGGGGGGGGGGTTGTGTTCATGGTCGGCTGTATGCACTTGCATTGCGATGGGCAGCACTTGGCATGCGTGTGTGTTGGCCCCACAGCTTCCAACCTGTTGTTTGGATATTGGGTATTTCCCACATTGGTGTTTGCGTACCGTATTTTCCGGAGTGTGAGCCGCACTTTAAACACTTGTAATTCACCCGAAAAAGCCAGTGCATCGGCTTATACTACAACAGGGTTCTAGCCAAAGGGGGGTAGGGGGCGCAGCGCCCCCCCCCCCCCCCCCCCTACTCCGTTTGCGCCCCCCCCCCCCCCCCCTGCTCATTTTCCGATTTTTGTGTTTTTCTCGCCATTCAACGAAAATACAGTCGATAGTCACTACTAGAGGGTTCATAAAGGCACATTTGTGAGGGGTGAAGTCGGGGGTTCACCCTGTATGTTACATTTTGCATGGCGAGACAATTTTGGACAATGGAAAATAATGGGTCATGGGGTAACTTTTTCCCATGCCCGCCCCCCTACTATTTTGACCTGGCTAGAACACTGTACAATACCAATGGTCAAATAAACCATGAAACACAGGATGAGATGGACGCTTCAATGTATGGACAGTATTTCAGGTGAATCTCACTGTATTGAATATTGATGCACACGCACACACACACACACGCACACACACACGCGCGCGCGCGCACACACACTGTTCTGTTTCTCTTACACACAGCCTGTACATGCACTACTGCAAGACCGGTTTGTCAGCCGGCGAGCGGTCGGAGCTGACAAGACGCCTGGGCCTGCTGACGTTCTACTGTGTGCGATCGCCGTGTTACAACAATGTCACCAGGTGAGAGGCCGAGAGGACCTTCTGCGCTGTCCTACCGACGACCTTGTTTGGCTGCCCAGTGTTGCTTTTTGATATGCACATGCCTATTTAAAATAGCAATAAATCAGATAAGCTGCACGGCAATTCTAAGTAATCATGCATAGCCACACTACACACAGTGCTGTCGGGCGCCGAAGAACTGGGGGTCAGGATTCTAGCCTATTTGTAGCCCGTTCTTATTTTTTAGCGAACACAGCGGGTTGGTTCTTATTCGATTGTACAGTCTTACATGTACATTGGTTCAGAGTTATACATCTGAGTGTACATTTATAGTGTACATTACAGTTTCCTTTCTTATCTGCAAAAAAAACATCCAGCCTAGACCGTTCTTAAAAATTGGTGAAATTCTAGCCTGGCCGTTCTTCGGCGGTCCTTTCTTCGGCGCCCAACAGTACTGTATCAAAGAATACTTGGTTGGTTCTGAGAACGTTTTCTTGTAACGATCTTCAGTTAGAATACACCACTGAGTGGTAAATTTAATTTATTATATAGAAAAGAAAAAGGACCAAGGAACCACCTGTCCCCGGGGAAAATTGCGATTCCGCGGCCGCTTTTTTTTCCGCGTTTTTTTCCGCGTTTTGCGATTTTTTTAAATACCGCGTTTTCCGCGATTTTCCCGCGTTTTTTGAACTTTTTTGTTGCGCTACACGTACACACAGTGCACTGTTCAGTCAGCAACTTCTCATCGTGGCGGCTTTGTACTCAAATATGACGAGTGCTTACACCAGAGACTTGTAACTGATTGATTTCACTACATACTCACTGAAAAGTGCCTCATATCAACTGCAAACTTGCCGCATATCAATAATATTCACCGCGTATTTACTGCAAATTCACCGCAAATTATGCCATATTATGCCGCGTTTTTTCCTGCGATTTTTTTCCGCGATTTTTTTCCGCGATTTTCCCCGGGGACAGAACTACAAGTTACGCTATAGTGTCTACTAACACCACCAGTTACTAAACAATCAGCTCATGCGATAACATCAGTCAGTACCGTCGGTCAGTGTCGTGCAATGTTATCGCATCAGCTGATTGTTTAGTAACTGGTGGTGTTGGTGGACATTATAGCGTAACTTGTAGTTCCTTGGTCCTTTTTCTTTTCTATAAATTTATCCTTGGCTCTCCATCTGAGTGGTAAACAAGCATATTTCTCTACACATTTGTAATTTTCGTATCCATCATCTTGCAAACTCTCTGTACACGTTCTGGGACACTCTCTTGATCGGCATCTGGGCATTTCTTTATAATACGGCATTATGCTAATATGAAGGGAACTGAACATGCTGTTCCAGGACCAATGCTGGTGTAATGACATCAGCCCTTCAGTATCTCCTATCACGAATGGCTGTCGATGTATCCGTGACTGATAGTATTTCAGCTCTGCTGTTATCTCAGTCACAGTTACTTGTATTATTACAGTCAGACTTCGCTTAGCCACACACATCCGTTTTCCACCGCGGATAGGCGAGGGAACTGGAGAAATCGAACACACATACTGTATGTATGCATGGCGTATGCTGTAAATCGGTCACCAACGATTTTCTTCCGGATGGCGAGGGATCCGGATAAAAGAGGACGGGATAAGCGAGATCTGACTCACTGTACATCATTACCCTAACATACTCTGTGTGTGTGTGTGTGTGTGTGTGTGTGTGTGTGTGTGTGTGTGTGTGTGTGTGTGTGTGTGTGTGTGTGTGTGTGTGTGTGTGTGTGTGTGTGTGTGTGTGTGTGTGTGTGTGTGTGGTGCTGCTATTGCTAATTGGCTACAGGGCATACATCCTAGCAGTCCTGAAGAGGTGCAGTCAGTCATTCTTCCCTATTTCCATGGCAGCTCGTGAGTATTATCAGTAAGAAGTATCTGTATTGAATGTGGACTGGTGGATTCACCACTTGCCCGTGAATGCCGTCTGCGGCTTTCTACTCCAAGCACTCGAAATGGAACACTAACAAGAGTCTCTGCAATTACAACTGGTCTCTCCGTTTAGGGCGCGCTCACACTGGGACCATGAGCACGCGTCCATGCGTCAGCAAAACGCAGAAACGTGGCAGTCGTGCTCACACTAGGCCTCGTACACGCGTAAACGTGGCAGTCGTGCTCACACTAGGCCTCGTACACGCGTAGACGTGAAGTTGTCACACAAACTTTACGAATTGCAGTTCGTATCCAAAAGAGTTCGTGCGTTTCCTAATAAAGTTGTGGCCCGTTTTTGAATGTATTTTTTCGCGTGTTGCATGTTGGAGGAAGTGCCTCGTGGCTCGTATTCTTGAAGTCGACGAAAATAATTCATACAATCATGTAGGTTTGGACTCTCGAGGGACTGCCGCTGACATCCAAGCGCTTTCGCTTTCCTGACTCGTGGTCAGAGCAAGTGCCAGTGCAGTGGAAATTCCGGTAGTGGTTTCTTTTGTCTGTTGGCGAGATGAGAACTGTATTTTCCGATGATATGTAACTGAAATATCTTGAGGTATGGCATTCCATCATCGCAGAAAAGTAGAGAAAGATGATTTCCCAAACCGAAAAGCCAGACCAAGCTACCATCGTACTGAACGAGTACACTGTAGAAACTGGTCACTGACCCGATCAACTGACTACGAAGCAACTACAAAAACAAAATTGACATCGTCCAAAAAGGGCAAAGATTGCATATATTATGGCGGTGCGTGCGTGCAGGACCACAACAACAAAATTTTAAAAATATGCAAATGCCGAGGATGACATCGACAACCGCCGAGTTTCATGAATCAATACACTGGAATTTGAGAAATTGGACATACTTCAGGCCAGGTTGTACACAAATACGCTTCACGTCTACGATCATGTTGCCGCCAAGTCGTGGCACCCCCTCCGGAGGTCGCGGTCACGATTTGAAACGTGGCCGCGACGTTTTGGTCAAGTTCATGCCGTTGCCATGCAACTTGGCCGCATGGCCGCATGGACGCTGGTTTTGGTCGCAGTGTGAGTGCGCCCTTATAAAACACCTCTTAATATAGCTACACGTTTGTGTATACATGTCTACTCAACTTGCTGTGATTTTGCGTTGTATTCGGATATCCAGCACATTCTCTCTCTCTCTCTCTCTCTCTCTCTCTCTCTCTCTCTCTCTCTCTCTCTCTCTCTCTCTCTCTCTCTCTCTCTCTCTCTCTCTCTCTCTCTCCTCGTACAGGTTCATGTCTGGATTACTTACCAGCGTGGCAACGAGTCTATTTCTACACATGGCTCTCGTGAGCGGCACCAACTATTGCCTCACTCAAGATGAAATGCATAGCCCTGGCATTCCTCCCGAGCCAGTGACACGAGGACAGAGGCATCTATGCTTTGTCCCCCGCAGATGATCCTGACGCAAGTCCTAGCAAGCCTATACTGTGTAGCCGTGCCCCCGATGGAGCATGCTGACAGTATTTGGAAGTACGCACTCCACATAGCAAGTATGCCTGTGGTGTTTACCAGCCGGATCAATGGCGTTCCGCTGGCGGATCAATGCCTTTTCCACTGCCTCGTCAATGCTGTTCCACAGCCTGATCAATGGAGTGCTGTGGGTCAGTATTGTCTTCACTGAGGTGCCTTTTTCCCCGCTACCGACGCTATTCTTGACGTGATATGCTGGGACTGGACAGTGTGGCAGCCACTAGGTGATAGCATCTCCCAAGTTGGGTTCCGTGCTCTTTGCTAGTGCTTCATAACCCAACCTTTGCAGGACAACCTTGAAGACCGGTCAGGATATGCTCGCTTACTTTACATAGCCATAACCTTACATTTGTGTACGCCGTAGCCCTGTGATTACTTCTAGCTTTTTTCCGGTATTGTTGTTGCTGGTCAATGGACTTATTGCGGTATTTGCACGTTATGAAGTACACAGCCCTCGTCGTGATGGCTGGGTCAGCTTTCTCCAGTTAACGGCAAATAAATCTTTGTTTTTTAATCGTCTATAGCATTGTTGCGTGCCGGTGTTGATCGCCTGCTAACAGTTTTCATATTCTGATTTCCTATTAAACTTTAGTTTAACTCCTTTCTATGTTTCATGATGTTTTTTTAACAACTTTCGTTTGTTGCAAAGCACGTGCCATTTTCAGAGGCGTGTTGTTAGCGGTGTTCGCAATCGCCATTTACCTGTGGACTGTACATGCCGTTGTTGTGAGCCATGCAAATGCAATGTTCAGCGTGCCCTCACTCAGTCCTCAATTCTCAGGCTTATCTAGATTGCGTATCATGCTCCTTGCTCACACGATGCTTCAACAATGTTCTCCATCGAAGACGGTTGCTGGGCTCTGCTCTCGTGTTGTGTGTGTGTCACAGTGGTGTGTGTGTGGGGGGTCAGTTGCCAGTCCCCAGGCATGGCTCATGGTTATTAGTGGGTGCCAGTTTTGCTCACGATTTTTCTCGGATTCTTCTCTTATCGTACATTCATTTGTAGAAACCGTTATTGTACCATGCTTGCGAGAAGTTTACGTCCGCTGTTCTTATAATTTGCACAACGGTACTTCATTTTGACGAATACTGTAACCTGTTTGCAGTGTCACATCAGGTGCGCGGAATACCGCTTGATTGTATCGTACTATTCGCAGGCTGTATAAAACGCCAGTGTGGTTTTATGGGATATGGGTTATGGGCACGTGATGTTATCAATAATTATTAAGCACGCATGATACAATTCCGGATGCACTATTGATGAAGCATGCATGACTGCATGGTTTACATCTCATGGGTGGCATGTACTTGTGAATCATGATCTAACCAAACTAGCTCGCTGTCCCCGTATCTTTTGGAACGTCAAGTTATTTTTGGAGCACAGTGCATGCATACACAACCATGTACATACTTCACTGCACAGCAGGAAAAAAAGCATCTCTCTCTCTCTCTCTCTCTCTCTCTCTCTCTCTCTCACACACACACACACACACACGTGCGCGCGCTTGTGTCTGCGAAGGACCGACCACCAAGAGCCAAACCTGACCGTACAGTCTAAGTACAGTAATCGACACTGTGCCACTGCAAGTACCTTGTACACCCACACAAACCACTCACACTCCAGTAGATCAAGCACCAAGACAAACACAGAGAACTACTGGATCAAACGTTGCATTTTCCAAAAACCCATAATAAGACAGACAAGGGATAAAGAAAATGATCTGAAATAATCAGAAAAATACGATCATGCGCGACATTAGTTCTTTGCACTTTTCAACATGCACATGAATGCAAGTTTACTTGGAAGTGCACTTGACTGCCTAAGTAATCTCCACGCTGCATGACAGCGAGGAGGAGCTGTGTTGTACTGTACTGAGACCTAGAGATAGAGACAGATATTGAGCGAGGACTACAGGGGACCCACTCGAGCCTATAGTCTATAGTCGCTGCAAAACCCGAAACGAAAAATAAGACTGCCTGTAGCCACACACATACTGCATGCAGTCAATCCGCTGACAGTATCGTGTGCAAGTCATGTACGGACAGTAGACCTCAGATAAGTGGCAAATCTGTTTCAGGCCTAAAAAAATCAATCTGGCATGGTTGAGGGCATTGTTCAAGGCCAGATCACAAATCTCGAGTTCGTAAAAAAAAAACGGTATTAGAATATAACTATAAATAAACTGGGGTAAGGTGTACAGTGACACCTTGGAGAATAGCTACCTAAGGACAGATGATGTCGGATCGGCGGTGGCACTTGGGACCAGATGTGGCTGCCAAGTGAATTCAGAGACACCGCTTATAAGTTGGGTGCCACGTAGTCCAGGAAGCGGATAGCAACTTCATAGCCGGCGAAGCACGCGGCATTAGCCGGGAAAGCACGCAGCATAATCGGTCCAAGACCCTTGAACAACGCCAGCGGGCCCTCCGTGCGCATAATGGTCATGAAGACATCACGAACGCCCCGCGGGAAAGCCCCCTCCGGCGACGTCTGCAGGCGTGACTTGAGCGTGTCGGGTGCTATGGCAACGGCCCAGTTGGCCATGCCTGCCAGGCCTCCCGCCAGTAAAATGCTGGCCGTGGACAGGTTGGAACCTTTGCCATCCGCTGACAGAGCCTTCTTCAGATTCTCGTACAGGGAGAAATACACGCCCGACGCCGGCACATCGCGCAGCAGTGTGGCTCCTGTTCCCTTGTACAGTCCACGGAAAAGACCAGACTCGCGGTACAGCTGCTTTGCACAGTCCAGAGGTCCAGCATACTTCGGCGCACCGCTGGATGCACTCTGGATCTGCAGCAAGCACTTGATACGTTCGCCAGGCACCATTACGGCGGTGGTATACACGCCAGCTAACATACCAGCGTTGAACAGCTGAAGCGTGGACAGCTCATCGCCAGGATTTTTCTGCTGCATGCGCTTGCCCACACCGAATCCCAGGAAGCATACAGCGAACATGGGCGTCACGCCTATTATGGGCGCCAGCATTCCCTTATACAAGCCTCGCACACCCTCCTTTTTCACCGTTTGATTAAGACAGTCCATACTGCCAGCATACATGGGCTTTTCGCCAGCGGCTGGCAGAGGCATTGTCTGTATCCGCACCTTGATCGTGTCCAGTGGATGACCTACAGCAACGAGACACACACCTCCAAATCCTCCTGCCATGAAGTCCTTGATTGCGGAGGGGCCCTTCTTGGCCGGCGCCGCCGAGCTTTCTTCCACAGACATGACTACAACCACTGCGGACCAACACAAAGGCTTTCAAGGATGATAATCTTCCCCGCCTGAATGTATTTCTCTTCAGGGTACCGAATGTCTGTGTTGAAAAAAGGCACTCTTGCTGGTGAGTTTGTTATGTTCACATGTTCATGATGTTTGACCTTTGAAAAGCTGCATGTGATGAAGTTTTTTTGGTCACTTGACCAGCTGACATGATGACGTACATGTAGACATGCGATATGCGGCACAGTAAAAAGTACTAAAAAACAAAAAAATTGTTTGGAAAGTGGCAAGAAAATGTGAAGATCTAGTTGCCATGGTGCTCAAGGATAGTAGGTCATGACGTCATTCGTGGCACTTCATGAGTTACAAAAATGTAGTGCACTTTTGTGGAGTTCAAACCTGCGCATGCGCGTCTGATCAGGTCGAACAAGGAAGACGAAATGGCGGCCGTCACTCTCCTTCGAGGCTCTGCGAGGGCTGTAATTGCCAAGCCAACGACTGTGGCTGGCTGTAGAACGCTCAAATATGAATTGAAACCCAAGCCTACAAAGAAACCCATGGCAGTTCCCTTCATTCCTCAGGAAAACTCAGTTGACGAGAAATATTACCCTGATGCTGCGTTGAGAGTTGGTATGGATAAACTGGAACTCGATGCTGAGATGTTGGGAATTGACGATCCCTACAACTTGGAGCCCGTCCGTCGTCACTGGGGTACTAAGGAGGATCCCGTGCTCGTGCCTGCTCGTTATAGTCATCGCATGGTGTGCTGCTACTGTGGTGATGGAGACACAGTTCACTATCAGATGTTCTACACTGGAGCTGCTCAGCGCTGTGCTTGTGGACAAGTGTTCAAACTTTTCAAAGTCAAGCGTATTCACAAAATCGACACGCCATCGTTGGAGGGCGCACACCATTAAGACGGATTCAGCAACTTTATACGCGTATGTATTGACATTTGTTTTGCTCTGAAGCATGTTCAATTGCTTCATCTTAGCTGATAGCATAGGCTCTGTTTTTCAACTCTTTATTTGTAAAAAGTACTCGCCAATTTCCCCATGTTCATGTATAGCATACTGCATATTTAATAACTCCAAACATATTGGTTGTACCAGAGACCTCGGTGGGCTGTTTTCTGGGAGCATGAGAAGTATGCCTTCGACTTGAGAATATACCGGTAATGCATGCTCAGGGATAAAATAACTGTGGACTTCGTACATAGAGTGCATGCACTCATCGCGGGCTGCGAAATGATGAAAGCTATCACATTTAACGGCGTGGATGTACAGTGAAACCTGTCTTAAGCCGACCGCTCAAGGGACCTTACAAATGTGGTCCCGGGTACAGATGGTCTCCTTATCCAGGGTCATTTGACTGGAAATGACATCCCTTGATCCTGGTTGTAGTGGTCGCCTTGACAGGTTTTACTGTACTTCATTGCACCGTTTTCAGTTTGTAAAGAAACCGTTTCGTCCATCGAAATAAGTATGTATCGGCCATCCGGCATTATCGATAATTTTCACGAAACGAAAAAGTTAGTTAGGACCCTCTCCCCCCCCCCCCCCCCCCCTGAATGAAAAAATAGATTGACTTGACAGCTAGAATGCATTGATGTCTCACATATCAATATTTTTCAAAACGAACCTCCTTGATTCACCCACCCATAAACGAAACTATTTTCTTTTCGTGTACAAGATCGATAATTGTACAGTCAGACCTCGCATAACCGCACACATCCGTTTTCCACAAAAATATCCGGATAGGCGAGGGAACCGGATAATCGAACACACATACTGTATGTGTGCAGGGCATATGCTGTAAATCGGTGACCAACAATTTTCTTCCGGATGGCGAGGGATCCGGATAAACGAGGACCGGATAAGCGAGGTCTGACTGTACTGTGATCGAGACCGTATACATATACTGCAGAATGCAAACCTGTCCCATCGCGTGCTGTTGCTGGTAAACTAGGCTGCGGGCTGTGCATGTGGACACATGTATTAGCCATGCTTAGTTGAAGGAGTGGTACTATCTACTGCATTTCCAAGAACCTGCTTTAGTATTATTGTTTTGTGGGGCCTATAGAGCTTTTTCAAGGTGTGTTGTGAAAGCAGGGTGTTTGTCCTCGTATTAGAGATATTATGCTACTCCACGTTACGGGAATGGGATGCAGAGAATCTCTTGTCACTCCTCACATTCTCGCAACGCTTCGAATCACGCCGCTCTTTGTTCGTGCAAAATGTGGAATGTGTACTGGGAATTACCAGTCCCAAATTTGGCAGTTTTCTCTCTAATTTGAACTATACACAGCAGATCCGTACTCATTTTCTTTGGGTGTGCCACAATGTGGAGAACCTCATCTCCATGTTGAAATGTGGACCAAAACCCTTGAAGCTATAACCTGTAGCCCATATAGACTGTACGTGATCTCTCCACGTTTCACGTGAAGCAGAACCTCTCTATTGTGTGTTTCAATGTTCGGTGTGCGTAAGATGATTGTGGCGTTGGATGTGGAAAAGTCCGTCTCACTGGCTTTGACGTGAATCGTGACATTTGTTTTGTAGAAACTGCTAATTTATGTGCTGTACGGACTATCCAGTGGCAAGTTCCCAATAGTAAAGGTAGAACATTTGAAATAGGCTGCTGTTGTTTCAACTTGGAAGTTCTGTGCTGTGGTTTTTGTGTCCTGTTGCGGGAGCCAAGATGTTTGTGTCTTTTGCTCAGAGGCGTATTCCTAGAAAAAACGGACGCGGGATAGTATGTATAGCAATGTACCCCCCCCCCCCCTTGTGTGTAGTTTTATTGTGTATTGTATAACACAACGGGAAGCGCAGAGCGCAAGCTGATGAGATAGTATAGCGGTCAGGCGAGATATGGTGCTATTCACCCAGGCGGGATTTTACGGTAGTAGTCCAGTGTCTGCTCTAGGATTGTAGGACAGCCGGGTACACATGTACCTGGCGCTGTCTCACCAGCCGAGGCACATGCTTTAACTGGTTGGTTGGTTTATTTTAATTCGGACAATAAACGGGAACTTAGGTCCAATGATATAAAGGCGAATGGATAAGCCGCATTTAGAAAAGAGAAGGCAGGAATTAGAAAATTACGAAAGAAGAAGAAGTATCTGACACATACAAGCCATGTGGTCAGTCCTTTCAAAGTTCGAAAGTGTAAAGTACCAACAGGGTCACAGGTGACCCGGTACTATATTTTCAACTGGGTCCAAGCGCCGCCCAACCGGGTGGATTACCCGGCTCACCCGGCGCTGGAGCAGACACTGTAGTCACCTGTATATGTATTGTCTTCCTAGGTATGTGCTGTGCACTGTGTGTAGCAGGTGTGACGTATCGCCGGTTGTTATGTTCCAGTTATTGTCGTCCAATGTTGCATACTGCATTATTTAGCTAATAAAGAGGTTCCGCACTACGTAAAGTTGAGCAACTTTACGTTAGTGGGCGGGGAAAACCTGTGAATTCGCGAGTTTGCACTCCACTTACGGAAAGTTGTCTACGTAGAGTACGTAGATAGGGCTCTGATAACGTAGCTGGACCGTAAGTGGATTGGGGTACAAATTTATGACTCTCTCCCCAGGTCGATCTGGTCGTACACTGCCGCGTTCGGAGTTGCCTAGGGCAGCTACGTGATTTGAAAACTCCGTATGGCGGAACACAGATGCGCATGCAGTTTACGTAAGACTTTCCGTAGATCGACTACGTTTTTTACTAACGTAATTACGTTATGCGGAACCTCTCTAATATCTGGAGCTGAAGAGACTTAGGGCTGACCAGTGGTTGTTTGCAATAGGTGTATTGTAAGGGTATACATTACTATACAAGTCATGTACACTGGTGGTAACTGAAATGACTATATGCCCCCCCTCCCCCTCGGTTATTTCCATGCGAGCTCTGCGGAGCTAAAATGAATCTTAGCGATTAGTGTGGATGCCCCTGATATGCCGGCATGAAGATCACTCTTACGGTATTCTCTTTGTTGTATGCACGCGTACTACGGCATGTATGACATTGTACTACGGCATGTATGACATTGTGTACCATTTGCGTACTCTTGGTGACACGAAGGGCGTAGCAAGTGCATTGGTTTGCACTGAGAGAGTTTAGATCTTCAGTGGGGTGTGTGGCTTTGCTGTATACTGCCGAGACAGTGAAAGTTTACTTCACGCAGTGTTTTATTCTCGTTCTACGTGAGTTTTTTTTTTTAATTTTTAGCAAGGGATAGCAAAAATAGCACTTCCTGAAGGAGAATGGTCAAAATCTGTCATGTCCAGCCAAGCTGCACATCACCTGACTGCAGTTGCACAAAGCTTGGTGCTGCTGGGTGCTGTGCAGCTTAAATTAACACGGGTGTGAACTGGTATAGGGTACAGACTTGGTTCACGTGATTGGGTGATTTCATTGAGCAGCACTGACACTGTACTATACATACTTTGATCTTATTAGATAAGCCTTGTTCTGTTGAAAACATGTTGTTGCTCGTGTTGTTGCTCGACAGCATGTTACAAGGAGGAGGACGCACTGTGTTCGGAAACAGTGCTCCTTACTACAACCTCCACGGTTGGCAGAGCCCCGGGCTTGCGACCATTTAAACAGTATGAGTGTTAGCCCTGGTTCTGACCCTCATTATATACTGGGGAGTTGTTTGACTGGACTTTCTATCACCATCCAAGAACGAGCGAGGAATACGCCACTGACAGTACAATAACAAACAAAATGAAAAAAAACCCCAAGAAGACTCAAACAACTCCCTGGTATAATGAGGGTCAGAGCCAGGGCTCTGCCAACCGTGGAGGTTGTAGTAAAGACACTGTTTCTGAACACAGTGCGTTCTCCGCCTTGTAACATGCTGTCGGCCAACAACATAGTTTGATCTTGCGTCACAGTTCCGTGTGTCGGCATCATCCATCCCATGGTCAGGTATCAGATGTAGCACGTAAACGGGGGGGGGGGGGTAGATCATATCCGCCAACCAGAGGCCAAATGCCGAAATCCAGTGGATTGGGAACCTGTGGTCCGGCACAAGGGAAACTCCGACTAGGCAAATGGGAGTTTTATGCTGGTGATACTTACACTCCTCCCCCCCCCCCTTCTTTCTTTCTTCAGCGCGTGTTATTGGCAATGAA